CGGTACGATAATACTCGGAGACCTCACAGGTATCCGAAACCGTATCAACTACGGCAATCGTGCGAACCAGAAACTCCACCAATGGGCTTTCGGTAAAATTGCCGAGCTAATCACCTACAAGGCGAAAGCACTTGGTATCAAAGTCAAAGTCATTGACGAATCCTATACTTCGCAAACTTGCCCAAAATGTGGCAACCGAAAGAAACCTAATAACCGAAACTATACCTGCCAATGCGGATTTCAATATCACCGCGACGGTGTAGGTGCTATCAATATCAGACAAAAGTATCTGGGTCACTTCGGTGACCCCGTAGTGGCGGAAATGGGTCTTGCCCGCATGACACCGCCCTTGGGCTTTAAACTTGAAGTCCCTGTTGCCTCGTCTTAAACACGAGGAATGTTTCTAAAAGGAACAAAAGAACCCCTGGTCTCCTTTAGGCTTGGGAGTATGTCAGAAGTCCTATCTGTCGATCTCTAATTATCTTCACGTTCCACATTTCGTGATACTGTTTTGTAAAGGACTATCTGCCCATTACGAATTGTGTGAATTGCAACGCTTTTAATAGGGTGCGATCTTCATCGTATCCGGCAATAGCAGATGCGCCTTGATAATCCGTAATATTGGCTAAGGCATCCCGAACCGCATCAGGTTCCAGGGTTCCTGCATTTTCCATTGCGATAGCCAATACCGACATCGCATCGTAGCCCCAAGCTGCGGGACCATCTGGAGGCATCATGAACATTGCTGTGTAAGCTTGTACAAACGGTGCTGCCTCCGCGGATTCTGTGCTAAAATCTCTGATGAAATAAGATCCCTCCAATGGCGCGTTGTCGTCTAAGGTGCCGAGAAGTTTCTCAGGTTCATCCCATCCATCGCCGCCAATAAAGATAGACTCAATTCCCATCCCTCTGGCTTGCGCCATTATCAACGGCGCCTCTGGATTAAAACCGGAGATAAACAGAGCATCTGGGGCTGCCGCTTTAATGTTCATCAACTGCGCGTCAAAGGTACGATCCCCACGTTGATAGACTTCGTTCCCGACAATCTCTCCACCGGATTTCAGCAAATTCTCCTCAAAAGCACCAGCGATATTCGCCGAGTAGACATCGTCAGTTTGCAGTAAAATTGCAGCGGTTTTCATATTAAGCTCATCCTCCTTCGTCACAAATTCTGCCATTGTTGCCGCCTGTGCTGACGATGGTGCAACAATAAGGAAAACAAACTTGCCACCAACAGTCGTCACATTCTGACCAGACGAAGCAGGAATCATGGGACGGCGCAGCTGGGTAACAACGGGACCAACCTGCTCGGAATTGGTTGAGAAAAGGGGACCCAGCAATGCGACAATACCCTCCTGCTCAATCAATTCTCTTGCGAAACGAATGCTTTCTGCGGCATCCGGCAAGTCACGTGTTCCTTGGTTATCCCGAATAAGGAACTCAACCGGCATTCCCAAGACCCCACCGTTATTGTTGATTTGGGCTCTGGCGAGTTCAGCACCTTTAGTAAAGCTGACAGCAAAACCTGATGGCTGAATCAGACCGATTTTAACCGTCCGTGCAGCCTCGGGCGTTGAAGTCGCAGGACTTACTATTTGCCTCACTTGATCGCAACCTGAAAGACAAGCAACCAATATTGAGACCAAGACTATGAAAGTCAGCGTAAGAGTTTTCAAGTTTATCATTAATCCTCCGATTTATAGTAGATTTCACAATTAACAAGACACTGTAGATGTATGCTTGGCGAGGTTAGGAAACCTCGCCAGCGGGGGTAGCGGGTTTTCGCTTCTATTGAAGTGTCTACTTATTTTTAGAATTCACTATAGTCTTAATGTTGAAAAATCACTTCAAACCCCATCCAATGATGAGAGTCTATCAGCACTTCTGAAGTTCTGTCAAGGGGATTGCAAACTTAACTCTGGGTTATCTAATTGTCGGCGAACTGGCGTGCGATGGATAACGCTCACACAAACCTGTTCGCCTAAAATGCTTTGAGTAATTTTAAACACATAACCTCTAAAGCCAAGGTAGCGTTCGTGTTTGTATTGTCAAGGAGGGATTTGGTGTCAAAGACGGTTTGGATGGCTTGCTGTATGCGCAAGCGAGAATAGTAGGGAACGATAGCTCGGAGTTCCTCAACGGAGTAAATATGCGTTATTAATTCGATCGGTGCGCCTTGTTGCAAAAAGAGCAGGTCTCGATACCATGTAACTAACTCGCCTAAAGTTTCGGGCTTATTTTTAAAGTCTTCGGCAAGTCTGAAAGCGACTAATCGATCCGTCTCTCTAAGGATTTCCGGTACTTTCTCGGTGAGTGGTTCACCTTTTTCAAACTGCGTGAGTGCTTTTCCGATTGATCCCCCCGTTGCAATTGCGAGTGCTGTTGCTTGCTCTGGTGCTACTGAATACCTATCCGCTAAGATTGTGGCTAATTCTTGTGTCGGCATCGGGTGAAACTGGAGAATTTGGCATCGGGAACGTGTCGTCGGGAGCAGTGCTTGGAGGTTTGACGTGAGTAAAATTAAAACGGATGCCGCGGGTGGTTCTTCCAGCGTCTTGAGTAGGCAGTTTTCAGCTTCTGGATTCATCCGATCCACGTCTGTCAAAATGTAGACTTTCCGACTCGCTTCAAGGGGTGCATAGATAACTTGTCTTCGCAACTCTCGAATCTGTCCTATTTTCAGTAGACTGCCGTCAGGCCGAATGATTGTAGATCAGGATGGTTTCCCCGAATCTACCTTTCGACAGCGAGGCATGTGCCCACACACCGTTTGGTGGTTGGGTATCTTGTTGGCAAAATATTAATTGTGCAAAATAACGAGCGACCGTCTCCTTTTCCAACTCCCGCTGGTCCAACGAAAAGATACGCACCGGCAATACGCCCTGATGCACAGTGCGCTGGAGTTGCTCACTAATCTGCTGATGTCCAATGATTGAATTCTGCACTTTTTCCAAATGCCCTTCACTTTGATAGGTATTCCTGATACTCGGTTAAAAGATCGGCATGGGCACAGCGTCTCGTGACTGGCATGTGCATCTATCAGTTTCACGCGGTTGTGGCTCCGCCTTCACAGCGGCGAGATACCCCGGCCTGCACCTTGTGATGGGATTCCAAAGGCTCTCTGTCTAAACGTCGCTGGGTGCGTTCTCCCCTGCTGCTGGGCGTTGGCACACCTATCTCTGGCGGCAAATCTAAGACAAGGTAGATCGGGTTTCAAGCCACCTGTAGCGGTCTGATTTAATCGATGGATAAGCTCGAGGTCAATGCCACCGCGATACCCCTGATACGACACGTAGCATCAATAAATCTGTCACAGATACGATTTGGTTCGCCTCCAGTGGCGGGGCGTATGAGTTCATCTACGTCTTGTGCGGCGGCAGCGATCAGCAGTAATTCTGTCACTGCGGTATTCCGTCGAAGTCAGAAAGAGATCCGCGGATGCGTTCAGGACTGGCGTACCGCCGGTTCGCGAGTGGCACAACATTCGTGACCAGTGCACTGCCCATCGGTGTTACTGTCGTGTTTTGCCCGCTCCCTCTACACTTCAAAAATGTATAAAAGTTCCGTGTTGTACCATTTTTTCTTTTTTAGAGAAAAAGCACCCACATCGGGCTTTCCCCACTGTTAGTTGCCAATCGGTGTCAACGCTCCGTTCTGCCGATTGATGCGATAGGTAGCGAGTTTGCCTGACCCTTGGCCACCGACAAAGAGAAGGTTGCCGGTTGCGTCAATATTGAAAACGCGCGGCGTCGGTTCGGTTAACCGATGCCCGACAACACTGAGTTTCCCGCTCTCTTCGTCGATTGCGAATTCTGCGATGCTGTCGTGTCTCGGTTGGAAACGTAGAGAACGTCCCCTGCGGATCAATGTGAATCTGTGCGCAGCTATTTCCCCATCATAATCGCGGGGAGTGTAGACAGATCTTCCTGTAAATCTACCAAGGTTCCCGGTGCTTCTTCCAATCGAAGGGTGTATGCGGAGACGCTCGACCCTTGTTCATTTGAGGCGTAAAGGATCGGTTTGCTCGGATGAAAGCAGAGTGCCGCGGTCCGATCGGGGCACCGGATTGAGGTTTCCAACGGGGTTTTTGTGTGAGTGTGCCGTGCCTCTCATCAAATTGAAACTGATAGATAGCATTCGAGGCACAGTATGCGGCACAAAAGGCAAACCGATTTGAAGCATCCGTTTCGATGCAGTGTGCGTGTATATCGGTTTCAACGGTCTGAATGCGGCTCACCTTGGACGGTCTTATCGTCCGCCGATGGTATGCACAGTAACCTTGCCAGCACCGTAATAGGCGGAAAGCAGAAAATTTCCGGTTTTGTCAGTTGCAATATAACAGGTATCGCGTCCAGCTGGACCGTTCGCAAATGGGTGAGATGTTTCGTCTCTCTTCATCAATACGGAACTTGCAATTTCTCTGTTGGATCGTAGCCCCAGCATAGAGATAGTTACCGACACGGTGACGAGTGCTAACGGACCGGGAGAACCGCTGACCCCGATATTTTCCTGAAATTCGATGTCGCCACTGGAGACATCCAGTGTGTAAATGGCGATTCTGTTTTCTCCTGCTATGGAGAGATAGACGTGCGTTTGCATTTTTTTAACGATGGACCTCCGCGTAGATTGACCCGTAAAGTCAATCTGATCTTTGATGTGGTTCTGTATATTTCTGGGGTATTACATACTTCCGTTTTAAGATCTTAATCATTCCTTGCTTGATGCAAGGCTGAAAATGCCAGCGGCACCCATGCCTCCGCCGACACACATCGTTACCATGCCATATCGGTGATTTTGCCCGCCGCATTTCGTTAATCAGGTTCACAGTGAGCTTGGCCACCTGTGCAACCGAGGGGATGTCCCAAGCAACTGCACCACCATTGACGTTCACCTTTTCGGGTGTTAATTGCGCCTCTTGAATCACAGCGAGGGCTTGCACGGCAAATGCTTCATTTAACTCTATGACATCTATATCTGCTAAAGTTAAGCCAGCAGATGCGAGTGCCTTTGGGATTGCAGGGACTGGTCCGATTCCCATGATTTCGGGAGAAACGCCTGCTGTCGCGTAACTCACGAAACGGGCTAAGGGATTGTAACCTTCAGTTTTCCGCTCGCGCCTCGGACATCAAAACAACAGCAGCAGCACCATCGCTCATTGGGAGCATTACCGGCTGTCACAGTCCCATCTACATGAAAAAACGGGTTTGAGGGATGCCAATGCTTCTGGCGATGTATCCCGGCGCGGTCCTTCATCCGTATCAAAAACAGAACAGGTAGTTTCGGACGTATTTTCCGAATTGAAGTGCGTTTCTTCTATTGTCAGCGGGACGATTTCTTCTTTGAATTTGCCTGCATCAATCGCTGCAATCGCCTTGCGATGGCTCTGGTATGCATAAGCGTCTTGTGCCCTGCGAGATATATCATACTTTCGCGCCAAGTTTTCAGCAGTCAATCCCATGCTGAGGTAGGCATCAGGGGCGTGTTCTATGAGTGTAGGGTTCGGCGACAGATTGACCCCAAACCGGCACCTGACTCATACTCTCCATACCACCAGCAATAACACTACTTCAGCGCGTCCAGATAGGATTCTGCTCCGCACCCATCGTTATCGTCTCTAAACCAGATGCGCAGAATCGGTTATTGTCAGAGCAGGACGGAAACAGGAAAACCCAGCGCGTAAACTGGCAATACGGGCGACGTTTGTAACCCTGCGGTCCCTCATGTGTGGCACATCCGATGATGACATCGTCTATGGCATCCAGATCAAAGTGTGGAAGCTTCTCAACCACTCCGCGGAGGGCAGCTGCAGCGAGTTCATCTGGACGTGTGTTCTTGAGTGTCCCTCTCCCCGCTCTTCCTACGGCTGTCCGTGCTGCAGATACGATAACCACGTTAGGTGTCGTTGCCATTATTTTTTACCTTTCTGGAGCGTTGCCTCTATCCTTGAATGGGTTTCCTCCTCTCCACAAAGGCTGAGGAATACCTCATGCTCCAAGTCCAGTAGATATTGTTCAGTAACGAATTGTGGGGTTGAAAGCGTACCACCGCAGAGGACGAATGCCAATTTATTGCCGAGGTGCTGTGTATAGTCGTCGATAGTCCCCGCTTGCCGAAGGAGATGTGTTTGTAGGTTGAGACGAGTGATTCCTTCTTCACCGAGCACGAGTATCTGCGGCGGTTCGGATGGACGATAATCTGCTTTGTGCAGTGAGAGCACAAGTCCTTTGGCATCTTCAAGATGTGTCTCTTGATTCGATGAGATAGCATCTGTGCGCCGAAGGTAACCGAGTTCCACCGCATCCGTCGCGTTCTGTGAAACCTTCGATTCACGAAGCGTATCAAAAGCCCTATTCACATAGGGAAATAACGTCTGAACCGGTGCGGTTGGAGACTGTCCTTCGAGACATCGAAATGCCATCTCTTTAGTACCACCACCACCCGGAATGAGTCCCACGCGGAGTTCAACGAGACCGAGGTAACTCTCAGTAAAGGCTTGTACCGCATCAGCACCGAATGCAAGTTCACATCCGCCGCCGAGTGCCATACCTGCTGTTGCTGCGACGACCGGCTTCGATGACATACGGAGTCTTGTGCAAACGGCTTGTAGATTCCGGAGTGTTGCCGAAATAGCGTCCCAATCTTTGCTCTTCGCACGCTCTAATAGAAGAATAAGGTTGAGTCCCACCGAAAAATTCTTCGCTTCTGTGGCGACAATCATACCTGTCCAATTGGTTTCTACTTCATCCAACGCGGCATCAAACACCTCCAGCATTCCGTCCCCTATGATGTTCAACTTGCTATGCAGTTCGAGCCGGGCGATGCCATCACCGATGTCCATCAGGGTGGCATCTGCATTGGAAATGATAGGTTTAGCGTCTGTCATTTTTAAGGTTGACCTTTCAATAATTTACCTGAGTGGAGTTCCCAAACTGCCTGATAACTGGACACTACGCATCGAAATGGTAGACGATTTCATCGAACCGATCTGCTGCGAAGGTGAATAGAAAGACAAGGTTCTCCGTGCCGGTACAACGAAGCGAGTGCTTTGCATTAGAGGGTATGAAGACGGATGCCCCAGAAGTAAGTGATGCCTCCTTATCATCTATTGTCACATGTCCGCGGCCACTGATGACATAATACGTCTCCTCGGGTTCGTGGTGATGGAGCGGGAGTAGTGTCCCTGGAATCATCTCCGCTATTCCCGTGGTGAGCCGGCTACTGGGTCCGCGTTCACCCGATATGAGGATTTTCCAACGTAATGGACCTTCAGCAGCAACACCTGGACCATCCCAGCCTTCCCAGTCAAGTTCCGCTTGATTGAGGATGATAGGTTTTTGTTTATTCATGAGGGATATTCTAACAAATCGGGGGAGATTTTACAACATTTTTTCCGACTTAATAGACCCCGAGCCAAGTTCCACAAAAAGAAAAAGGGGCAAGCGCATAGTCTGCCCCTACGAATAGGAATGAACTGGTTTCTATCCCGTTACAGCGCCTTCAGAGGCGGAGGAGACTGAATTGGCATACTTCGCCATGACTCCGCGCGCATAGGGCGGCTCAGGTGGAGTCCACTGCTCAAAGCGCTCTTGGATTTCAGCGTCGGAAAGCTCAACGTCGAGTCGTCGTTCTTTGGCATCAATTACGATTTCGTCCCCCTCTTGGAGGATTGCGATGGGACCGCCTTTTGCCGCTTCAGGGGCGACATGGCAGATCATGAAACCGTGTGTCGCACCAGAGAATCTACCGTCGGTTAAGAGAGCGACATCTTCACTCAAGCCTGCCCCCACGAGGGCTGCGGTTACGCCTAACATCTCACGCATACCCGGACCACCGGTGGGTCCCTCATAACGGATAACGACGACATCCCCGGGCTGGATCTGTCCGCCTTTGATGGCGGCAAAAGTATCCTCCTCACGATCAAAAATACGGGCGGGACCCCGATGGAGCATTTTATCCTGACCGGCTAACTTAATAACACAACCATCCGGCGCAAGATTACCTCTCAAAATGGCAAAGCCGCCAGTCGGTTTGAGTGGTGCGTCGACAGGTCTGACGACTTGCTGCCCCTCCGTTTCGGTGGCTGCGTTTGCCTCTTCACCGATGGACTTGCCCGTGACAGTGAGTTCATCAGTGTGAAGCAAGCCTGCCTCTGCCAAACGTTTCGCCAAGAACGGAATGCCTCCCGCTTCATAGAGATCAGTCGCGACAAACTGACCACCGGGCTTCAGGTCTGCCAATACAGGTGTTTTTTGACTAATGGCTGTGAAAATCCTCAAGCGTCAACGGAATCTGCGCCTCGTGCGCGATGGCGAGTAGATGGAGAACACCGTTGGTAGAACCACCGGTCGCGGCGACAGAGGTAATCGCATTCTCAATCGACTTGCGGGTGATAATTTGACTCGGTCTCCGGTCAGCGGCGAGCATGTCCATAACGAGTTGTCCGGCTTTATATGCTTCCTGGTCCTTGTCTCCTGCGACAGCTGGGACACTCCCGCTTCCCATCGGAGCAATACCTAACATTTCAACGGCTGTTGCCATGGTATTAGCAGTAAATTGCCCTCCGCATGCGCCGGGACCGGGACACCCCTTACTAATCAGATCGTCCAATTCTTCGACAGTTATTGTGCCTTCCGCATGCTGACCGACCGCTTCAAATACATCTTGGATAGTAACATCGCGTCCCTGAAATTTGCCGGGCATGATGGATCCGCCGTAGAGGGTGAGCGATGGAATATCTAACCGTGCGAGTGCCATGACAGTGCCCGGGACGGTCTTATCGCATCCACAAAGAGCAATGACAGCGTCAAACATGTTACCGATGGAAACTAACTCGATCGAGTCGGCGATGATTTCCCGACTGATCAGCGAAGTTTTCATGCCCTCGGTGCCCATGGTGATGCCATCAGAGATACTGATGGTATTAAATTCAAGTGGTGTTCCACCCGCTGCGCGGATACCCTCTTTGACCTTAGCGGCAAGCCGTCTCAGGTGAAAGTTACAAGGACCTATTTCGATCCAAGTATTAGCAACCCCGATAATCGGTTTGTCAAGATCTTCTGGAGACAACCCGCCATCGCCGAACATGAGCATGGTGCGTGCGGCGGCGCGGTCGGGTCCATCGGTAATCGCATAACTTCGGGGTTTCAACTTATTGGACATTTGTCTGTGTTCTCCTACAAAAGGTAATTGGTTTCCCAGCACCACGCAATATGGTTATATGCCCAGCCAACTGCTAAAACACACCACCGTACTTCGCTATGAGACCAGCGAACACGACGAAACCATAGACATCAACTTAATCAAAATGTTAAGCGAAGGACCGGAAGTGTCCTTGAACGGATCTCCGACAGTATCACCAACAATGGTGGCTTTATGCTGTTCTGAGCCTTTTTCACCGTATTCGTCTTTGTGTTTGCCTTCCTCAATGAACTTTTTGGCGTTGTCCCACGCGCCACCCGCGTTAGCCATCATAATTGCGAGAACGAAACCGGTCGTTAAACCGCCTGCCAGCAAGCCTAACACACCAGCGACATCGAAAATTAAACCGACTGCGACAGGTACAACAAGAGCGATCAGTGATGGAAGGATCATCTCGCGTTGTGCCCCAACAGTTGAAATTTCGACACATCGTGCGTAATCTGGTTTCTCTTCGCCTCTCATAATACCGGGTTTCTCTCGAAATTGGCGGCGGACCTCCTCTACCATAGCCCCTGCGGAGCGTCCAACCGCTTTCATCGTCAATGCACAGAAATAGAACGCCATCGCCGCACCCATGAACAGCCCGATAAGGACTTTCGGGTTCATCAGGGTAACGTCGTAGTAACTCATAAATTGACTGACCGAAACCTTGAGTGTATCAATACTGCCCTCACCGGGTATGATGAGTGTGTCCTTATGTGCTAAGTGGATTAATCCGTATCGAATTTCTTCCAAGTATGCAGCCAAAAGTGCGAGTGCTGTCAGTGCTGCCGATCCGATGGCAAACCCCTTGCCAGTCGCGGCTGTTGTGTTGCCGAGTGCATCTAATTGGTCGGTCCGTTCTCGGACACTTTTATCAAGCTTTGCCATTTCGGCGTTTCCACCCGCATTGTCTGCGATGGGTCCGTATGCATCTGTGGCGAGGGTAATACCAAGCGTCGCCAGCATACCGACAGCGGCAATGCCAACCCCGTAAAGCCCCATCAGCGGCTCGGATGCTCCGCCAGGGAGGTAGTAACTAATGGCAACTGCGACGGCGATGGTTATGACCGGAATTGCCGTTGATTCCATACCAACAGCAATACCTTCAATAATTACGGTTGCGGGTCCAGTTTGTGCCTGCTTCGCAATGGCACGAGTCGGTGAATAATCGTGAGAGGTAAAGACCTCAGTGGACTTCCCTATAATCAAACCTGCCACAAGCCCAGTGATAATTGCCCCCCAAATCTGCCACACGTTAGGAAGCCCCAAGTACATAAGGAGAGGGAGTGAGACGACAGCGATGCCTACAGCACTTCCGTTGATGCCAAAGTTCAGGGAACCCATCAACTGTTTCATTGTCGCGCCCTCTTTTGTCCGTACCATATAGATACCTAAAATGGAAAGAATGACGCCGATGCCAGCGATGATCATAGGTGCTGAAAGATATTTAAGTTGGAGAGCAAGGTCACTGTGATCTCTGGCAGCAATGGCTGCGACACCAAGGGCGGCTGTTGCTAAGATTGAGCCTGCATAGGATTCGTAGAGATCCGCTCCCATACCTGCGACATCGCCGACGTTATCACCGACGTTATCTGCGATGACTGCAGGGTTGCGTGGATCGTCCTCTGGAATGCCTGCTTCAACTTTTCCAACCAGATCGGCACCAACGTCCGCTGCTTTGGTATAGATACCACCACCCACACGAGCAAAAAGTGCTTGTGTTGAGGCACCCATGCCGAAACTGAGCATAATCACAGTAATCTGTGGCAGTGGATTTACTTCTAAGAATCCGGGTAATATCTTAGGGAATAGGTAATAGAGAATGAGAAACCATCCGGTAATATCAAGAAGGGCAAATCCGACAACTATTAATCCCATGACTGCCCCAGCACGGAACGAGACCTTTAAGGCTGCATTGAGTCCCTGCATCGCGGCACTTGTGGTGCGTGCGGAGGCGTTGGTTGCTGTCTTCATGCCGAGAAAACCGCAGAGTCCTGAGAAAAAGCCGCCTGTGAGAAAGGCGAAGGGTACAACCTTATTTTGGGCATCAAGGACAAAAGCCATGAAAATAAAGATGAGACAGAGTACGGCAAAAACGATGCCCACGACTTTGTATTGTTGCCTGAGATATGCCATCGCGCCTTCACGCACGGATTGTGCGATCTCGCGCATTGTTTCGTTGCCCTCGTCCTGCTTCATCACAGCGCGATAGAAGTGGTACGCAAAACCTAAAGCGATGAGTGCACTAACTGGGGCAATCCACCACACCGGTGGTAGAGTCGGAGGGGAGTCTGTTTGGGCAAAAGCCACGGTGGCTAAATTCAGAACGGGCAGGAATATCAGAAATGTCTTCCAATTTAGCCACCGCTTTTTGTGAGTGATATCACGCATTAAAAAACCTCTCTTTTTTACTTTTTAATTTTCCTTGCGGTTCGATGAAGTGGGTTTGAGCATTGAAATTCCTTTCCGTAGAGCCGCCCTCCATTTCATTACGGGCTTGCGATCTTTCGCTAAGAAAGAGGAATACCAACGCGATCTTTTGCTGAAAAATTTGATTTAAATATTTCAAGTGCCTGACCGACGAGGTAGAGCGAACCTGTAATGCAGATTAAATCTGCCGGCGATGCGCCAGATAATGCCCTCGTGATCGCTTTTTCTGGTGTTGAACACGCGCTAATCTTCTCGCATGTATTCTCCCAGGCATCCAGTATTTCTTCAGCGGACATCACACGCGGGTTATTGAGAACTTGTGTGGCAATCACGAAATCCGCTGTTTGTGAAACAATATTACCAATTGCAGTAAGATTTTTATCTCTCATTAAACTAACGATAAAAGTCACCCGATCGTAACGGAAACTCTGACGGAGAGTGGAGCAGAGTACCTCCATTGAGGCAGGAGAATGCGCGCCATCAAGGACAACAATCGGCGAGGACCTAATTCGTTGAATCCGACCCTGCCACTGCACGTTCTTAAACCCGGCATAAACGCTGGTTTTCGGAACTATGTATCCCTTCTGCTTCAGGCATTCAATCGCTGTGACAGCAGTCGTCGCGTTTATAAACTGATGGTGTCCAAGGAGCGGCATAGTGAGTTGCGGATAACTCTCCGAATCCGTCTCCACGTCAAATTCCTGTGCTACAGGCAGACCATCGGCATTTCGGACGAGACGCGAAGATGAGGCACTGCAATCTCGCCCTACCAAATTCTTGGGTTCAACAATAGGTGCGTTCCGCTCGCTTGCCACTTTCTCAAATACCGTTCGTGCTTCCGGGTGTTGTGGGGCGAGTGCCAAGGGGCATTTCTGTTTGATGATTTCGGCTTTCTCACCTGCTATCTCCGTATATGTCTCCCCCAATATCGCGGTGTGCTCTAAACCAATTGGTGTAATAACAGTCGCGACAGGGGTAACAACGTTCGTCGCATCGAGTCTCCCACCTAAGCCGACTTCAATAACAGCAAAGTCTGTTGCCTTGTCGGCAAAATAGGAAAAAGCAAGCGCGGTGTATATTTCAAAAAACGAGACACGTCCGAACTCTGAAGTGGAAACAGTCTCGATCGCAGGCTTGAGTTTCTCAACATAGAAAGCAACGTCTGCTTTTGAGATTAGATCGCCATCAATACGGCACCGTTCTCGCGGTGTAATGAGATGCGGAGATGTGAACAAGCCGGTTTTATAGCCCGCTTGGGTAAGTACCGACGCTATGAGTGCAGCAGTAGAGCCTTTCCCTTTGCTCCCTGCGATGTGGATAACCTGCAATCTATCGTGTGGATTGCCGAGCAGTTCGAGTAATAAGGAAATCCTATTTAGATTATAGAGCCGTGCCTGCCGTGAAAAATCAGGACTCCTTTCGTAGTCTATAAACCCTTCGATATAGGCGAGTGCCGCTTTGTAATCCAATTTTTGCTGCTGCTCCGGTTAAGACACACGGCGTATGCCTACGAATTTAGATACTCATAAATCGGGAACTGTGCGCAGAGTTTCTTGACTTTTTCTTCGGATTTGTCGTTTGATAGAGGCTTTCTGCCTATTTTCAAGCGTTTCCGCGATGAAATCGGCGACGAGAACCATCTCATCCTCTTTCAGCCCGCGCGTCGTAATCATCGGCGTCCCGAGGCGTAGACCGCTTGTCGTTCTCGGTTTCCTTTTGTCGAAAGGGATCGTATTCTTATTGACGATAATTCCGGCATCTTCTAAATGATCTGCGGCTTGCCGTCCACTGAGTTTCTCATACTTGGAAGTGAGGTCTATCAGCATGAGATGATTGTCGGTACCCCCACTCACCAATCGGAAACCGTTTTCAATTAACCGTGCAGCGAGTGCCTTAGCATTTTTAACAATCTGTTCCTGGTATGTTTTAAAATCAGGCTCGCTTGCTTCTTTGAATGCAACAGCTCTGGCAGCGATTGTATGGAGGAAGGGACCGCCTTGTAAGCCGGGAAACACAGCGCGATCGATCTTGTCTGCATATTCGGCTTTACACATAATCATGGCACCGCGGGGACCGCGTAAAGTCTTGTGTGTCGTTGTGGTAACCACATCGCTGTACGGAACAGGATCCGGATGCGCGCCACCAGCAATAAGCCCCGCAATATGGGCTATATCTGCGAGCAAGTAAGCCCCTACAGAATCAGCAATCTCCGCCATGCGCCAAAGTCAAACTGCCGCGGATAGGCTGTCGCGCCGACAACGATGAGTTTGGGACGGTGCTGCGTGGCGAGGCGTGCAATCTCATCCATGTCGATTCGCTCGGTTTCGACATCCACGCCATAAGTAGCGATATTGTAATAGTTTCCTGAGAAGTTAACACCTGCACCATGCGTGAGATGCCCTCCCTGACTGAGGGACATGCCGAGAATCGTGTCACCCGGTTCAAGTAAGGCATGATAGACTGCCATGTTCGCTTGGGAACCGGCATGTGGTTGGACATTGACGTGCTCAGCACCGAAGAGTGCTTTCGCGCGTTCAATCGCGAGCGATTCAACATCGTCCATAAACTGGCATCCGTTATAGTAACGCTCGCCGGGGTAGCCCTCAGCGTATTTATTGGCGAGGATACTGCCCTGGATTTCCATAACAGCGCGACTTGCGTAGTTCTCGGATGGGATCAGCATGAGAGAATCTTGCTGACGTTTCAGGTCATTGGCGGTGATTTCAACGATCTGTGGGTCGACTTCACCTAACTTGGAAGCAATCCTCGGATTGCGAGACTCTGATGTGTTCATTTTCTTTCACCGCTTAAAAATTAAAATGGTGCTGTATTGTAGAAGTTAAATTTTAACACAAATTTGCCGTAAATTCAAATTTTTCGTAATTTTTGCAGAGTTTGGAAAAACAGGTTCCTTGTAGTTTTCAAGCATCGGCTTTTCGTTAGAAACCCTATCTGATCTCATTTCACGAGAAAATATAAAAGTTGAAGGGTGGACGCTTCATCCCCACATCTTTCGTTGCAAACCGATTCGGTTTTCTTCAGAAAATACCACGGTAGATTTTAGAATTACCTATATACGAGTAAATGAGAGGAGATATCCGAAGATTACAAAAAATGAATGAGATGATTTTCTAACGATGCCCGGTGCGATTAGGAAACCTCATCAATAGGAGAGCTATCGGGCAGACCGTATTTCATTTGCACACGCTTTGATAATATGCTAATCTAATAGGTAATAAAATGTCCCGATGGTTTTCCAATAGCCTCAATTCGCAATTTAAGGTCTTAATGAAAGGGTCAATGTGTATCTCTGGAATAGACTTTTCTATAATCAATTCTCGCTTGCGAACTGTGCCAAAAAGTTCATAGTCCTACTTGCCCTCCTCCTTGTGTGGGGATGCGATTCACAACAGAAAAAGCAGACGCAGCAGCCGACAGCACAGCAGCCAGTAATCTCTGAAGCAACAGAACTTGTCACGTCTCCTCGTGCTGAGGACTGGCACATGTTCATGCACAATTTTGGCTTTTCTGGGATTAGCCCCGACACAAGCATTACACCACCTTTGGAACTGCTGTGGAAATTCAAAACCGGTGGACCGCTCCACGCTTCACCAGTGATTGCAAACGGCATTTTGTATATCGGCTCGACCGATGGCAAGTTGTATGCCCTGGACGCGAAACAGTGGGATATCAAATGGGTTTTTGATGCCGGGGATGCTATCCGCTACTCTGCGACTGTACTGGGGAATCGGGTCTACTTTAGCGCGAGGAACAACAAAGTCTACGCGTTAGATGCGAAAACAGGTGAAAAACTGTGGGAGTTCAAGTCGAAAAGTTGGATGGACGCGCCGCTGATCGTTTCGGACAATAGGGTGTACATCGGTGCGTTCCCTTCAAAAATCTATCTGCTGAATGCGAGTACAGGCACTCTCGAAGCAATGCGTGAACGGAAAATTCGCATCCACGGTATCGAATACGGATGTGCTAATGGGGTGTTCCGTCCTATCTTTCCAGAACACAACGCCGACTTGTGGCGAGGTTACACAGGCGGAAGCGAGAGTTATCCTGTGACAGCGAATGGCATCGTCTATATTGGTGCCCGTGATGGACAACTCCACGCGTTTGATGTAGCGTCCAAGACTGAAACTTGGACATATCAACTCGGTGGTTTTGTGGACGCTGCCCCCGCAATCTCCGAAGGCATTCTCTATGCTGCATCTGGTGATGGCAATGTCTATGCCTTTACAAACGCAACAGAAAACATCCGTGAAGTGGATACTCGACGACAAGGGACTGTGACCATGATGCGGCACCGGTTTATACAAAAAAAGACGGGGTTACAACCGCCACCAGCGAAGGGACATCCGTGTTGTTACAACTCAACGATGGCGTGCGTTTGCCGATTGTACGAGTTTCAGACGGATGGTATGAAGTTGAACTCCCGAACGGTGTACGAGGGTGGATGGACAAGTTTGCCTTCGGAGAATTCAAAGAAATAGACGGTATCATGTTCAATACGACTTTTTGTCGTAAGGAAGATCACTCGATTACGGATCCATATAGGTGCAATTGATTGAAGGTGCCGAGTTTCCGCGCTGGAGTCCGGACGGGGAGTTCATCGCATTTTTGAAAAGAGAAGATTTGGGTGGCAGATATTGGCGTGCGAATGAACTGTGGATTATGGATCGGAAGGGGGAACGGGCGCGAAAGTTTTACACCGGACATTTCTACAATCCGTATGTCTCCTGGTCGCTTGATAGTAGGCTTGTAGCATTTGAGGTTGACGAAAATGGTGAACGCTTTATTTACACAGTCGATTGGAAATTCGGACGGATCAAACAGTTAGTTCGTGGCGATGGACCTGCCTTTTCACCGACCTCTAACCGTTTGGTGTTTAGAAGACGCGACTTTTCTCAAACTGAGAGACTGGATGTCGTCTACCGAATCAATAGCGATGGCAGCGGTTTAGGTGCTATTGCCCGTGTACCCATTGAACGTCCGCGGCGTTCCTACACCTATCTGGCTGCGCCATCTTGGTCACCCGATGGTACCCGTATCGCTTTCGGTGTAAATAGTTCAAAATATGTTGGTATCCGCATTCAAGACATAGAAGGGCGACGCATAAAAGAGATCCTGACGCAGCATCAAGAGGTTCATCAACTGAACTGGTCGGAAGATGGAACCCGGCTGGCTTATGTCTTGTCCGGCAGTAACCGTCCGGGGCAACTGCTCGATAAGCAGCTGCACCTATCGGAGACGGTGTCTACCTTGACGCAGAGTCAGATTTTGAAGCATACATCACCAGCGTGGTCGCCAACAGGTAAACAGTTAGCATATATGGAACGTGAAGACTGCGGAGGCATCCGCTGGAAGGTCTGGGTCTATGACCTTGAGAACGATAAAAAATTCCCTATCGCCCGTACACCGATGAAACTGACCTCTGTTGTCTGGATGCCTGACGGTAAACATCTCTGTTTGTGGCAAACCTCGGATTATTTGCGCGATAACGCATATAAACCGGCATTGACAAAGGGTTGGATTGTGCCTGTTGACATTCCTTAGAACGCCGCTTCAAACAAAGCCACCATATCCTCTTCCGTACACACCCTCGGATTGAATTTGTGGCAGTGATCAAGCATTGCATCCGCGCCGAGTTTTGGAATCTTTCCCCGGTCTAAACCAGCATCTCCAAGTCCTGCGGGCATCTTCAGCTCAGCGTTGAATGCCCTGATTTTATCAATAGCAGCATACCCTGCTTCGTCGATCTCCATGTCCCTGGTGTCTATACCTAAAGCACGCGCGACTTCTGCATATTTCTCGTTTGCATGAGAAAAGTTAAATTCCATAACAGGAGGGAGAAGGATCGCGTTCGCTATACCATGCGGAATAGGCGCATCTGTAGAGAGTTGATGCGCCAGCGAATGGACCGCGCCGAGCCCCTTCTGGAACGAAAATGCTGCCATGCATGATCCGAAAAGCATTTCCCCCCGTGCGGTTACATCCTCACCATTGTGATAGACCTGTTGGATATTCGCGCTCAACATTCTGAGTGCCTGCAATGCAACCCCCTCAGCAATAGGGTGGTACTTCGTCGCCACATACGCCTCGATACCGTGTGTGATGGCATCCATACCTGTCGCGGCAGTAAGGGCAGATGGCATGCCAAGGGTTATTCCCGGATCAAGGAGTGCTATGTTCGCCATGTTGAAGGGTGTAACGATTGCACGCTTCCGCCATCGATCGGTTGTCTGTAGAGATGTATCCGTTATGATTGAGCCTTGTGACACCTCACTGCCGGTACCGGCAGTCGTTGGTACACATATCAGCGGTGGCATATCGCCTCGGATTCGCTCGACGCCACCAACATCAGCGTAATATGGAGCGAGGTTGGAAACCTCGCCAGCGGGTGGTTCATGGGTCGCCAAGAGACGGATAGCTTTGGCGGCATCCATCACACTTCCGCCTCCGACAGCGATGACGACATCACACGCCTCAGCTTTGTAAACTTCTACACCCTGTGTAACACTGATGTCCGTGGGATTCGGTTCGATATCCGAATACGTAGCGGACGACAAGCCGCTTGCCGCCAAGGCATCTGCCGCTTTTGGCAAGGATACCAGCATTGATAACACCAGTATCGCTCACTAAAAACGGTTTTTTGCCATCAAACGTCTTGACATGCTCGCCTAAGTTTTGGATTGCCCCGTCGCCAAATTCAATTTGCGGGGGTAAAAAATAGTTTAGCATCTGTTGTCAGTTCCTATAATTTGTCTTGTATTACCTCAACCAAAGCATCTAAGTTCGTATGCCTGAAGAATTCGGCTAAGCGTTTCTGTCTAAGTTCTTTCGGCAACAATATGAACGTTGGAAAACGCTTCTCTGCGAGTTCAAAGACCGCCCTATATGCTCTGCTTGTCGCGTATCCTATTTTAAGTGTATAACTATCGCTATATTTTTGTAGGTAATCGACCAAACGCGTTGCACACTGTTCAATTTGGGCGGTGTTCTTATGGGAGAGCTGAAAATCGTAGCGGATGACAGCGTCCTCTGTCTCAAATTCTTCAGGAACGGGACCGTAAAGTCCAGAGAGCGTTATTTTGTGGATACGCTCCTGTCCTTCCCCGAAAGCAGTTTGAAGTCTGTTTGTGATCATCGTGTGCGTACGTGACAGTGAGTACGGTTTCTTTCCAGCACACGGAATCGCAAGGAGAATTTCTTTTCCATCAGGCGGTTTATAATCACAAGGAACCCGAAAGTCATCAGGGGTATATGCCAGCGAGACCGTTTGAGACTCTTTATCTCCTTGGACAGTTTGGATTTTGTTCTCAGCTTTCTTGTAATCAGACGGAAAGAGTTCTAACTGATTCAAGGTCTGCTGTGTGTGCTTCGTTTTCGTAGGTGTGGGCATCTGAACTAACGTTCGAGCCAATCGGACTGCGAGCGTCCTATCGTTTTCGGAAAGCCATGCTGTTGCACGCCGCAACCCTCGGAAGTTCTGGTATTTAGCAAGGTGTCGGACTAAACCTTCAAGCGCATCGTCTGCCGCAATTGCGGTACGCATTTCATCGAGAATATCGGCTTCCGTCTGGAAGTTATGAAGCCCAATAGCCGCATAGTACTCGCTCTTAAACTTGCCTGTGGAGGTGGCTCTATAACTCTGTTTATCCATGAACGCCTGCTGAATTTCTTGGAGCGGGTATGCTTCGCAGATGTAACAATTGCAGTCCCTCTCATCCATCTCCATGATTCTAAGTTTCTTTTGGGTGTGCGGTTGAGAATATGTGAGACTCCGAGATGTATGAATATAGCCAGAACTGTCAAATGTGTCAACACCGATATAAGCGAGGAGTGGCGTGAGAACGCCTGAAACACCGAAAGCGTGAATAGGAGTCGTATCCCGCCGATTATCTGGGATTGCTTGGACGACACCGTTAACCAGCGCCATCACTTCCGAATCGTCTCTACCACGTAAAGGCACAAGTGATCCGACAGCCAACCCGAATGAGGGTAATATGCCACCCATTTGGGCAAAGAGTTGGGTCACATAATCCGAGGTGTCCTCTCCAGATTGCCCATGACAGCAGGTGTAAAGATAAGGCACCGTACGCATCTCGCTTGTGTTTGTTGCCAAACGTTCTGCCACCTGGACCGCGTTTGCGAGACTCTGTTTCATCCGTGCTTCAGCTTCCGGACGTGCTAAGTTGGGTGGAAGCGGGTAATCCAAAGAGGCGACTATATCGCCCTCAAAACCTAATTGCAGATTGAGGATGTCCTCCGCCTCTGTTTCCTTGTGAATTCCAAATTCTTCCAGATCCAGACCTGTATTGTAGAGAAGTTTGAAGCCACCGGAATCTAAGAAGAGGGCACTTTCATACACACCATTCTGTTCACGATAATGCTCGCGCATTGACTTTCCACGCCAATTGTCAAGGTACCGTCCAGTGAGCGGGAAATCGAGAAAATGTAATATCTGAGACAGCATAGGTATCTGTCGCTGCATCAGAATCTTTAGAATATATTTCCAGACACCACCCCCGCGTGTACTTGTACCCGTTAGGAAATTAATGACAGGGTATAGCACTGGCGTTTCAAGTTTTCTATTGTTAGAACTTAGCCTGAGTTCACCTATCCGTCCATGTGGTGTTGAGATGGTCGTATGGTAGGTAGGCATGGAGAGTTCGGTCTGAGGATGGCTTTGCATTTTTTTCGTGTAACTTTCAGGTTTCCAAAATCCCGCGATAAAAAATCTAAGACTCTCTCAATAAAGTGAACGCGAGGCATCAAAACCTCGCGCTCTAATTCATATATGGTGTTCAAAAACTACTTCACGGATTTAAGATGTGCCCAAGTCGTTGCAAGTTTGCTCCTCGCATCAACCGGTAACGAGGGGCCATCAGGTCCGTAAACGACGACATCGTCATACTTAGCAACCGTGCTCCATGTAGCTAAGCCGATTCTCCCGACACCGCCCTCGGTATCATCGGCCACCTCTGCGACTTCTTCATCGTTGAGGATGACCGTGTAACTATCAGATGTATTGACAATCTTGATGTTATACCAATCCTTCTCATCAATGGTGTGGGCACTATTGGCACCCGCTTTGCCACCCCAGGATTCAACCTGCGAGCGTGAGTTTCCCCAGCCACCGAGATTCCACCAGTACTCCAATGAGGGTTTGAGCTTCTCCATACGTGGCGGAGGATCCTCAAGAGCCTGTCCGCGAGCTTGCATCAAACCTTGGCACCGGAACATAATCAGGAAGCCTTCGGCACCACTGGTTTTACTCCCTCTCATCTCAAAAGTGTAATCATTCCATTCGTCATCCCAGAATTCGTCAGCGACGACGCTCATGCAGTTAGGGGTATTTTGGAGTTGATGGTATTCATCAGCCTTGAATTCCCATTCCCCAAAGAGGGCGACCCATTTCTTTTCAGATTCTTTCGGATCATCGAAATTATCCTCAAAATAGGTTTGCGACATCGCAAGCGCAGCAATGCCAAGGGTAATTGTACAAATAGCAATGAACAGGTTACGTCTGTTCATAATAGAATTCTCCTTTTAATTGTATTTCATGTAGCATAGCCTGTTAGGCTGTGCCTTTCTTGTGCCTTCTTCCGTAGCATAGCCTGTTAGGCTGTGCCTTTCTTGTGCTTTCTTCCGTAGCATAGCCTGTTAGGCTGTGCATATATAACCCGTTAGTTTATGGTTTTCCCATTCTACCTACTCCCAACCCAAATATTACCCAACGTCTTCAATAAAATAATCGGAATCGACTCGTTTGATTTCATAAGTTTCCACGGTGGAAACGCCCATCGCCACTACGTCCCACAGTTTGGGCATCTTCTCTTGAACCACCGTATCCCATTTTAACAAGAAGATCAATAACAAGTTTCTCGAAAAAAGAAGAGGAGTTCGCTTTAATCTGCTGTAGTAAATCCTCTGCTACTTCCTCCTTACACGTGGCACAGACTAACAGTCTATGCTACGAATGTTAAATGCCGGTTAGTTCGCCGTGTCAGTTTAGCGTATAGTTTGCACAGACTAACAGTCTATGCTACATCGGCAATAACTCCACTGCCACTTTTCCCATCTGTCCACTAAACCCGCTTTTACAGGGTTATTAAGAACATAAGTGACGATCCGTTGCCATTCGTTTGCGTCCCGAACAACGTGATCATAACTTTCTTGCTGCCAGAATGCACCCTTCCGCCCTCATAGACGATTCGCTTTGTGAGCCGTGTACCCTTTAAGGGACTGCATAATAGAGGAAAGTGTATTGTAGCACAAACTTTTAGTTTGTGTATCATTATCATTGGCATGCAAACTCACAGTTTGCGCTACGTCCGAAGATTGTATTGGAAGTGGTGTAAATACAACATGGACATGATTTGACATGATGCAATAGGCATCTAAGCAATACACTTTTCCATCTCGGTAATGCAGACTATCTGCTATTTCTTTAGCAATTCGACCGACTTTGAGCCATGTAGGTCCACTTTGTGCTTCATCAAGAGTTTTTTCAAATTTTCGGAACCATTGCCGTCTCCATTCCAGATGTTTATTCTTTTTCTCAAAATGTCTATGTTGCGTTGAAGTGGGCCCGGAGTCATTTTGCAACCTGAGAAGTCTTGATTTTTCTCTGTCAAATTGTAATTTTTCCATTCTCCATTGCGCTAATACATGCTGTGGTATAGCTCCTGCAAGCTGGAATGTCACAAAGAAAGTTGCCCCCGGTGTCTGTATATGAGGCAAGTTACGACGGTAAAACGATTTAAGCTCATCTTGACTCATCTTACGTGTATCCGTTGTAGCATAGCCTGTTAGGCTGTGCAAGTTGTTATATCCCCAATCTGTTAGCCTGTGCAAACTAATGATTAAGCGAAAACTCAGCTGAATTGAGTAAGACCCAATAGAGATCTTCGTAAGCCAAGTCTTTGTTTCGATAGAGACTCCGTTCTAAATAGCGTCGGAAATAGGTTTTTTCTTTAGCAGTTGGCAACCGAGATAGGATATTGAGATATATATATTCCACGCGCTCAATCGGTCCGCGCCATTTTTCGAGTACATAATTTACAAAACCGCCGCGTGCTTCATGACTCGCACTATCATTCACCATATCTCCATTAATCATCATGAGTGCTTGTGGGATGGTTCCATTGAATGCCTCAATCTCTTCCATCTCACCGTTATCCAGTAAAAAGAGAAACTTTTTGAGATGCTCGCGTTTCATCCGTTCAAGCTGACGCAGCATACCCTTCCTATCTTCACCTCCCTGCTTCTTGCTACCTTTCATTCTGACCTGTTGAAGCCTTTCAAAACCAGTGGCTTGCAGCACGGAATAGAAGAACTGCTCAGCACTTAAGGGTTTCACGTATGCGTGTGAATAATAGAGTTGATCGTCTTTGTTACTCTCATTCGTTTGCGATGTACGCTGATACGCCTCTGAATTCAGGATAGTCCGCATCAAGTGTTGTAAGTCGTAGCTGTAAATGACGAAATCCTTTGCGAGCGACTTCAAAAGTTCAGGATTGGTGGATTGGTTTTCTTCTCCGAATCCATCAACCGGTTCGACAAAAGCACGCCCCATAAAGCGTTGCCAGATACGATTCACGATTGCTTGACTAAAATAGGGGTTTGATTTATCAGTCATCCACTGTGCGAGTGCTTCTCGCTTTTTGAGGAGTGAACCTTTGTATTCTGTCCCACCTAAGAAGTGTGGACGAACCTGTTTTTCAAGTCTTTCCACCCAAATCGAATTTTCTGGCTTGTTAGTAATGAGAAAATTGTCCATCTTTCTCTCATTACCTGCCATATCCATCGTCTCGATGTCCCCCTTCCGCTGGCTATCAATACCAGCAAAAAAAGCGGCGACGCCGTAGAAATCTTCTTGGCTCCACACTTCTGTTTTATGATCGTGGCATTCTGCACACTGCATAGGGAGTCCCAAGAAAAGACGCGAGGTATGTGAAGTCAGGAAGACCGGCGAACGTTCGTAACGCATGATATAGTTTCCTGCGCCGTTGTCGCGTAATTCACCATCAGCCGCGATGAGTTCCTGAACGAACTGATTGTACGGCATATTTTTCGTCAATGCATCCCGCACCCAAAACGTTAACCCAATGCGTCTATCATCGCCATCTTCGCGCCTCCCTATTAACCAGTTCACCCATAACCCGCTCCAGTAGTCAAGGTAGACATCACTATCCAACAACAGATCAATCTTTTTCTGGCGTTTGTTTGAAGAACCGTCTTTGAGAAAATCCAAGACCTCTTCGGGAGTTGGGATTTTTCCGGTCAGATCGAGATGAACCCGGCGCAAAAACTCTGCATCTTCCGACATCTTTGAGGGTTGGATACTTTCCCTCTTAAGTGCGGCGTTGATATACCGGTCGAGGTGTTTGGTGCTTGACGAAACCTGCCGGGTCGGTGCAACCGTAGTTTTGGTGCAACTGAACACCAAGAAGGCAAAAGCGAACAGGAAAAGTGAGTAGCACGCCGACATCCTAAAAGATGTTTTCACGATAAATGAATCCCTGAACCTCAGTTTTAATTAGGTCCAACCGTCGCGTTTACAAAGCATATTGACAGGAAATTGATGTACCTAACTTCTAAGTAATTTAAGTTTAACCTATTATTTACAAGACATCAAGGAAAATCTGCAGAGCCATGAATAGCGATTCAGATATCGTTCCTACACAAGAATCGCTGAAAAGCGGATATTAGGTCCACCGGACGCCTGTCGGAATGATGCCTGCATCTTCACCACGGCGTATCGCTTCAGCAGCATCAAGGATACTCGCTAAATCGTGTTGCGGTTCAAAGTCCAATAGCGTTTTGATTTTGCTTAAATCAAACTCAAAATAGAGAGGTTGCGGGAGTTTCACATCCACATAATCCATCTGGTAACGTTCACATAGGTATGGGATAACCTCTTCATATTTGAAGATGCCATTTCCACCGAGCGTGAATTCTTCACCGACAGCCGCATCCTTTTCGATCCCTAAAACCAACCCTTGTACAATATCCCGTACATCAGTGAAATGCTCCTTGTAGGGACGTCCGTCAAGATTACGTTTGAGTATGAATTTCTCCTGCCCGTCCCAGAGGCGTTTGACGGCATCCGCGGTCTCTAACTCAGCAGGATCATCGCCTTTATAATTCTTGTATCGGTTATAGATATTACTAAAGACGAATTGCTTGGGTAAACCGTCTTCGTTGAGATATTCGCTCGGTTCAATGACGGTTGTGAAGCGGAAGACTGTGGAAGGCACACCATATTGGTGATGATATGTCATGCATAATTCTTCGCCAATCCATTTGGTAAGGAAGTAGGGCATGTGATGGTATTTGGCAACCATGTCTTCGGTAATTAGTTCATTGAAAAGCCTACCTTTTTCAGTGAGTTCCCAATAAATCGCTTCGGTACAGGCATAGACAAGGCGATGAATGTTCGGATTGAACTCACGGATGCACTCCAAAATATTGAGCGTTCCCATGCCGTTGATTGCCAAGTACTGACGGTTATCAAAGGGACCGCCGAAAGCTGCGGCGATATGATAGATGGCATCTACCCCCTCAACGGCTTTTTTGACATCTTCATATTCCCGTAGGTCGCCAAAGACGGTCTCTCACGCGTTCCGTACCGTCCCATCGTCCGACACGATTGGCATCCCCCGGATAGACAAAACTGCGGATATCGTGTCCCTTTTCCAACAATTTTTTGACAAGGTTGGACCCAATACGACCTGTGCCACCGGTGACTAAAATTTTCATGACTTTTTCTCCTGAAAGTCAATAAGGCATAAAAGAGTAATGCACTTGACAGAAGTGCATTACTCTTTTTAGGGCCATCTTTGCCGAATTGTAAATTGTAAGCGGTGCTGAGTCGCTCAAATTTAGCAAAGAAGGTCTATTGTAAGCTTTTATTTCCGCCCATTTCACTGTTAATTTATCTCTGGGTTCTACATCAAATGCAGTGCTTATGAGCTTTATATTATCTATCGCCCACCACCAATCATTCTGTGCGTCAATGACACCGAAACTAATAATCATCTCAGCGGCATTCGCGGGATTGTCGATCGGAATTTCTAACGTTTCGTTTATCTGTTCTCCGTCGTTTACTTTTTCTTCCTTATATAGTATATCCGATTTTCCGAAAGAGATCAAGCAACATACATCCTAAAAAGTGACAGCGTACCCGTCTGTTCTTGGATCGGAACCTCCGATGAGTGCGCCCGATTCAGGATGCACCATGATAGCCTGAGCACTCCCTGGACCACCCCAATCACCAACAATTTGGAGTTCATGTCCCCTTTCTCCTAATCCATCCTTGGTATCCGAGGGGAACCGATTTTCTAACTGGAGGTCATTGGAGCAGACGTGCGGAATAGTGGATTCCATCGGGTTCTGTAAACTCCGCCAGCGCGGTGCAGAGACCGCCTCCTGTGGTGTCATTCCGAAATCAAGCATATGGGTAACGAGTTGTAGATTCGTTTGGACCTGTGTATCTGCTCCAGGGGTGCCACATGCTAAGAACGGTTGACCGTCCTTTGTAACAATGACAGGGTTCATGGTGTGGCGGACACGTTTGCCGGGCATCAGGCAGTTGGGGTGTCCGTCTTCCAAATGCCAATAGGTCATGCGATTGTTCAAGAGGATACCCGTGTCGCCTGCGATAAGACTGGAACCGAACCCCGATTGGATACTCTGCAGGATACAAACGAGATTTCCGGCTCGGTCCGCGGTGCAAAAACAGGTTGTATCTTCGTGCGCCTCTGGACCACCTGCTGGAACATCAAAAGCCGCCTTATCTAAGTCGATACATTCCGCTCGTTCAGCGGCGTAGGATTTAGATAACATCCCGTCTATGGGAACATCCACCCACTCTGGATCCGCCATATATTGTTCCCGATCAGCGAAGGCGAGTTTTTTCGCCTCAACCATCAGATGGACACTTTCGGCGGTATTGCACCCTAAAGCTTTGCAAATCAAACAACTCAACCATGTTCAATTCTTGAAGCAAGATATGACCACTTGAATTGGGGGGCATCTCGTATACTTCATATCCACGGTAGTTGACATGTATCGGCTCAGCCCAGTGTGCGTGGTAGTTCGCGAGATCTTCAGCAGTCAAGAGACCATCATAAGCACGGCTGAATTCACCGATAGCCTCAGCGAGCTCGCCTTTATAGAGCACGTCTCTGCCGTGTTTTGCGATCTTTTGGAGCGTGGTCCCGAGATTGGGGTTCGCAAGGAGTTGACCTGCGGCGATCGGTTTGCCATCGTTTGTGAAGACAGCGCGCGAATCCGGTTCGGCAGCAAAGCGGGCGTTTTCGCCTTTAAGCCCACCGGCAAGCCTATGACTCACTGGAAACCCTTCTTCACAGAGCGAGATTGCTGGTGCGAAAACATCTTCTAACTTGAGTGCTCCGTACTTTCCGTGCGCGAGCAACCATCCATCAGCGAGCCCTGGCACTGAAACACTCCGCATGCCTTTCATAGGAATCCCACCGTCTTTGAGATAGGTTTCACGAGTTGCGGCACGCGGTGCCGGTCCAGTTGCATTTACAGCGGTGACCTGTCCGGTCTCTGCCCAATAAATGAGAATAAAACCGTCACCGCCGACTCCAGAGCCAGCAGGTTCAACAACACCGAGCGCAGCAGCAGTCGCAATGGCTGCATCAACAGCGTTGCCACCCGCCATCATTGTCTGAATGCCAGCTTGCGAGGCAAGGACGTGTCCAGATGTAACCATGCCGTTTCTTCCCATCACAGAGGGACGAAACGCCGAAGCAGTAATACCGTGTGGGGATTGCATTTTTTTAATTTTCCTTCTTTTCATTAAGTGAGCATCTTCTTGGCGAACGCTTCAACATCAACTCTTTCGTGCGTTCGAGCCGACTCGTTGCATGCTTCCATGAGTACCCATGTACCGAGCGTTGTGTCCTGCATCCAGTCCCGATCCGTTCCATTGGCAATCGCCTGCGCAAAGGCATCAAACTGGAGGCGGTCGTCTTCTATTAGACCGGCGTGCAAATCTTGCAGGGATACATCTTCAATGGTTTTGCCGAGTTGGAAGAGTTGTAAGTGTCCGGCATCTCGTCGGATATCTCCGTCCTCGCCGTGGAAGGTCCAGTGTCCGCTCCAGCCGAAGGCACCGGTATGCCCTGCCCGCGTTCCTGCATAGGAGAAAGGCGCGCCGTTGGCGTACTCCATAAGCGCGTTGCCACCAGCAGTTCCCCAAGCTTCAATTTGCCCAAGTTCTGGGTCTCGCCTATTATGGACATGCGCGGTAACGGACTTCGGAAGTCCCTTCGCGGCAACAAGCTGGTCAAGTTGATGGCTGCAGCCTGCATGGAAGAAAAGCCCATCAACATAGGCATCGGGTTGTCGGGAATCGGGTCCAGTGTACAGATTTTGGCGGATCCAGAATCGACACTCCCCTGCTAACATTTCGCCGATGCCACCCTCTTCTCGGAGCCATGCCCGCATTTTCGCGGCGGCTGGGTTCCACCGTTTATTCTGCCCTTGGACGAGCATCAAGCCAGGGTTCGCCTTGTGTGCGCGTATAATGTCGTGGAATTCTGCTTGTGTCGTTGCGATTGGTTTGACACAGAGAGTATGCATGCCGAGGTTCAGGCTTTCAACAATTAATTTGGCGTGAACGGTCGTTGAAGCATAGATAAGACATGCCTGCGCGTCGTGTTTCTCTTTTGCCTCGGTTATTGTCGTGTAGATGCGATCGGCGAGAGAGTCTGGGACATCCCCTTCTAAACTTGCTATAGCTTTGCGAGCTTCGGGGAGGTTAATATCTACACAGGCAACGGGGTTAAGCCCTTTTGAATTGATTTGCGCTTGTAGGCGACCGTGCGCGAAATGGGTACATCCGACATGAATAGTGGGAATCGGCATTTATAAATCTCCTTAGTATAATACCAAGTCAATGTTATCGGAATAGCCGTCAACGGGAATAACCGTCGGCTTTCAGTGGACATCCTTTCGGTTTTCTGAAACCCTCAAATCAAACAGGAAATTGACGGTAATTAGAAACCTCTTTGCTGACTGCTGACTGCCGACTGCCGATAGCCAATTTGGTATAATTTCGCGCTTAGGACACCTCAACGACGGGTGGGTTGATGAAATCGTGGTATTTCTGTGCTACCTTTCCAACGTTTGCATCGCCAGCATGGATAAGGACACGGAACCGGAAGTGCATCTCTTCACCTTGTTTGAGTGTATAGGAACCATCTTTAGAAGGATCTCTTTCAAAAGAGCTACCTCCGAATATATTGCTTCCCATTAGCCCGTAATTGCGCACATGCCAATACGTCGGATAGCGTGGGTTGACGATATGATCGAATACAGCAATACCAACAGGCGTTCCATCAACAACACCAGAATAATCGCACCAGTTAGCACGCTTACCCCAGTTTCTGCCTCATTGATACCACCAAAAGCGTTCTCCATCTTCCCACCATCTGAAGCGTTCATCGACGGATGCACCCGAATTGAGATAATACCACCCTCTTTGGTATCTCCGAAATGTACATCCCCGACGGAAGCGATAAAACTGAGATCGAGATCAAGAAGTGCGGCATCTTCAGGTAGGTTATAGATGCGATAATTCTGCACATCCGTCATCAAAACCTCTCCTACCTGTGTCTGCCAACTATTTTGCGTATAAAGTCTACTAACGACAGCCCCACCCTGTTTTTGTGTGAAGCCTTGAGGTACAACCCTTCCAGAATTACTTCCTTCACCCCATAAGTCAACATCATTGACTTCGCCGTAGGCGACGTAGAGGGAACGGTGATGGACGTGGTCCTTTGAGATGTCGCTTGTTTCACCGCGTGTTACTTCGCGTCCATTCGGACCGAGAACCGGAAAAAAATACGGGCGAAACTGCGCTTTTGCGTAGCGAAATGTTGTAAAATGCCGGTCATTGAGTGTTACGGTTATCGTTTCGGCTTCTTCTTTTAACTGAACGCCTGTCTCGCCAGCAACACTTCCCTCCGATAGGGTATAGGTCCGCGATTCACCTGCGGCAAGTCCATCAAGTATCCAAGTTAAGGTCGTAGCACCACCCTCGTCAGCGTAGCACTGTGCTGAAATGATGTCACCAGATGCGGTGTCTGTTAAGGTAACGGCATGATCGTGGAGTTGGCTCACGCCGGGATGGTTAACGTTAACGCTAACAGGACACCCATCCCGATTGTGAAAACCAGCGTTGACAGTAAACGTCGGAAGATTCTGATTTGCCATAAATCTCCTTCTTCGTATCTGGGTTCCTCTCAGAAATTTTCCTAAGTAGCGAAGGGGCTAATCACCCCGTTTGTCAGAGCCATACGGTTTTTAATTATGGCTATAATGCTTAAAGGAGGAACTAAACGGATACCTTACCTTGTTGATTAGCTCTCCTCAGAGGTTAGGGCGAGGATTCCCTCTTCTTCGCTATTGTAGTTCTCAAATACGCTCATTAAGCGTCCGAGGATGAGAAGGTTGCGGATATGCGCGCCTGCGTTGACGAGAGCCGTCCGTCCGCCTTTGCGGGAGACCGTCACGTTCACAGATACCAACGTGCCGAGTCCGCTACTGTCCATACGGGTAACATTCTCAAGGTTAAAGATAACCTTTGGGGAGTCAAAATGCTCCTCCAATTCCTCATTAATCTGTTCTCTAATTTCAGCATTTGCCGCACCAATCATGCGGCCCGGTGGGTCGAATAACAATGACCCCTTCTCTTTGACGGATTTCTGCTAACATTTATTTTCCTTTCTTAATTGCTCGCATTAGGAGTTAATACGGATTTACGAATTATGCCCTAACAAAGAGATTTTCAATAGGTTAGTTAATATAGTTAATTTCTAAAATTTTGTCAAGATTTTCAAACAGTTTTCTCTAACGCCCGGCGGACGGGGGAGGTGGCCAGTGAAGTCCGCGTTGACCTGATAAGGCGCGGTTGGAAGACGGACGATACGCTTGGTCAGGCAAGCCGACAAGTTTACCATCTTGTACCCAGTCTTCATCACCTCCGTAGAGTTCACCCATTAGATGGTTTGTCAGTCGTTCAAGTATCTCAGCATGCGCCGACGAATCGGCGAGGTCGTTCAATTCCCTCGGATCCTCTTCCAGATCGAAGAGTTGACGGTAATTTCCGGTGGCGTAGTAAATAAGCTTGAAGCGTCCGTCATGAATCATCCGGGTCGCACTGCCGCCATTACCAATTTCGCCGTACAACCAATCACGCTTTTCGTCACCTACCATCGGTATCCCATCCACGGTATCTGGAATGTCAATTCCTGCGAGGTGGAGAAGTGTAGGCATTACATCCTGCCATCCGACGAGACGGTCATCCACTCTGTGATGCCCTACCCGTTCATCGCCTGCGGTGCCGACGAGCAGCATAGGAACGTTGGCGGAATCTTCATAATAGAGCCGTTTCGCCCACATTTGATGATTTCCGAGCATATCGCCGTGGTCGGAGGTAAACAACAGAATCGTATTGTTCAGTAGTCCTTCCTCCCGTAAAGTGCCAATAACGACGCGTAATTGATGGTCGATATGTGTGCAGAGGGCATAAAACGCTTGGCGTGCTGAACGCATCTGATCTTCTGTAAAATGCTCGTCCTGTTTCTGGCGCGCCTTTAGGGGTAACGGTAGTCGCTCGTTTTGCTTCGCCCATTCGCCACAATATGGCATATCCACATCAATATCGCGATACATGTCCATGTAGCACTGGAGTGGTGCCAGGGGCGGATGTGGATGGCAATAGGCGAGAGGTACCAGAAACCGGGACGTGTTGGATCGCGGCGTTTAATCATCCGCACCATTTGCTGTGTGCTCCAGTTTGTGACGTGGCAGTCTTCAGGGAGATGCCAAGGTCGGTTGAGATAATCGTTGTTACACATCCCGTGTGCGAACTGTTGACCTGCATAACCCCTGTCGCTGAGAAAAAGCTCATAGTCGTCAACCACGCCGTGCTGCAGTCTGCCTTCCTCACCGAGTAACACATCGTCGAAACCGATGCGGCTACGTTGCGGATGGATATGTAACTTACCGACAGCGTAGGCTTGATACCCCGCATCCCGAAAGGTCTGTGCGATCGTTGGAAGTCCATTTAATCCCTGTTGATCGTTGAAAACCCGATCCTTGTGGGTTCGCGTTGTCGTTCCAGTCATCAACGTTTTTCGCGCTGGAACACAGACAGGACATTCACTGTAACCTCGCGTGAAGCGAGTGCCGGCACGAGCGAGCGTGTCCAGCGTCGGTGTTTGGATGGCAGGATGCCCGTTGACTCCTAATAACGAGTTGGGCCAATGATCTGTCGAAATCAAAAGGACATGCGGTTTGTCGGTCATGACTATATTTTCCAATCGACTGGAACTGCCAGCCTACCTAATAGGTGCGGCAAGTTTAAGAGAAAATTCTTACAAGTAAAATAAACACCCGATCCTATTCAATCCTGATGAAGATCTTTTACCGTTCGTAGCGCGCAAAGTAGAAGGTTATGAGCGGTTCATTTGTGTCATTGATGAGGCTATGCCCTGGATTCGACGAAGCCACAGAAACAGCATCACCCGGCATCTGCCGATAAACATTCCTGCTAACAACGTGGATGCCGTTGCCTTCGAGCATATACCAGACCTCGTCCATGTCGGGACCGTGGCCGTGTGTATCAGGTGTTTGCATCGCTTCAATCCGCACCACGAGTACTGAATGCAGCGTCACCAAGCCATCATCCGGACTGAAAATCGGATGTACGAGATGCGTCCAATGCCCCTGTCCTAACGGACGTTCGCGGTAGTTTCTTATGAGGGGATCCTTCCGGGGTGCCTCGATGCCATCTGGCAGTACCTCTTCCAACATCAGAAATTCCAATGGTGCGTCCCTCTGGATTCTCCAAGATGTGGGTAAGTCCGGGTGGCACAAGGATCGCGTCCCCTTCCTCAACCTGCTGTTTCAAGTCTCCCGCTTCAAATATGCCAGAACCATCAACGATGTAAAAAATAAGCTGCCGATCGTCCAATGCCGTGGGGAACTGAAGCGATCCTCGGTTCGAGGTAACATCGAGAGAAGCTATCAACGTACCTTAGAATTGCGCCCTCTGTATCTGTAGAGTTTTCTGTCCTTTTACTAAAGATCTCGCGTTTAATGATGTTGCCGTGCGTTAAGCTTGAAGGGCTCTGTAACCAATGTCGCATATACATTATGAGTGCCTCCGATGCATATCAATTAGGTAGACAACGCTCGTTAAATTACATTCGCATAATCATATCAAAACTTGTGACAATTGGCAAGGGAAAAAGTTCACAATCAACCTCAATCTTATGAAAAATTTCTCAATTATACTTGCATCACTCTGGTATTCGTCAGATACGGTGAATCAAAGTGAGTTATGTCGCCTGCACTGCACCCGGGAACAGGAAAAAGACGTACCGATAACGGCTTCGTGAGCCGGATAGAGAGAGACGCAACGTCAGTGAGAATAGCGGCAAGTTGAGACGTGGAAACATCGCCAGGTAAAGGAATTGTGTCCAAACCTGTCCCACAAACAGAGGAGTAGAGGAGAAGGCTGTCGAGGTTAAAATAGCCCGCTTCACTGCGCTTTCCCAGTCCAACATCTTCAAGGACAGGGAGCATTAACCCTGAATATCCACACAAAGGTAGGGCGAGTGTTCGAAGTGTCTGTGTCAAACCAGCGGCAACTGTTAGCGTCCCGCGCTCACCAAAAAGACCGGGCAGTTGTTGCTCCATCGCATAAGCGATGCTCTCATCACCCAGTGGTGCGGGTGACACATCTATGCCCATAAACTTTATGCCCCACTCCTGCGCAAAGGTTTCTGCGAGTGCGACAATCTTCTGTCCCTTCAGCTTCCATGAGGGTCTTCAGATTTTGCAATGCAATTTCCAAATTAGGGGCATCTGTGAAAGCCTGTTGCACAAGATCTGCCGCTTGCCATCCAATACCGAAGTTGGTCCTGGTGTCGTGCCAGAATGCTGCTGGGAAAAAGGGTGTATTTGGTGGACAGTTCATCAACGCAGCAAAACGAAGGTTTCCGTACCCAGCATCGGTGCGATGCGCTATCTGCTGAATGACCTTAGCAGTGCTTTCCGCTATCTCCGATGCTATATGTCCAGACTGCGTCGTAAGGGTAACGGTAGCGAAGACTATCTCACTCTGGGCAATCACATCAGCGACACGAGCGATATGAGCTTCCGTGTGCCGTTTTCCCGGTAGGATCGTTCCCAAGTTAAGGAACTCAATTCCTAACGCCTGTGCATCGGATTCTAACGCAAGGATTGTATCTACATCCCGTGGTTCATCCCAGATTTGACTACTTACACGAGTTGTTTGTACGTCGTAACCGTTCGCCTCAAAATAGGTTTGACAGGCGGCGTTAAATTTTGCCGCACGCTGAAGTTGGTATGGCGAAAAAGGTAGCGGAATGCCTGTGGTAATCGTTCGGATTTTCATGTTGCCTGTATGTAGACCTTCCTGTTTTGTCCAATGAGGCATGATTTCATTACTTGCTTTAGGGAGTGTGAAAGTAGAAAGAACGTGCCATTGAAGTTCTAAAAAGGTTATGATATAAGTGTTTAGAACCAAACCTTTTTGGAGGTCTTCAATGGCAAAAAAGAGTATAGCAAAAAAGCGGAAAAGGCACAATCGCAAAAACTGGGTCGTAACGCCTCAGGCCCCGTTGTGTGCCCTGGGTGAGGTATTGCGGGCTCGTGAAGTATTTCACCCCCTTCATGACATGGTGGCTATCCGGCAGAAAACAGTTGTGTATCGTCCGACCGACAAGTTAGTTTTTGTGGTGTTAGGGATGCTATCGGGTGCGGAGACGGTGTCTGAAATCCAGACGCGGGTTCGTCCGGATCGTGGCTTGTTAGGTGCCTTTGGATACCCAAGATGTGCGGATGCGTCGGTGATCCAGCAAACCTTAGATGCCTCAACTGAAGCGACTGTAGCCTCGCTTGAAGCAGCTTTAGCGAAGGTGCGTCTCAAGCAAAGTCAGAGGCATGAGGTGTCTTCGGCAGTGCCAGAGCAGATACGTGTGGATATAGACCTCTCTGCCTTACCGATTGGCAAGCATGCCGAGGGTGCCAAGAAAGGTTATGTCGCCAAAAAGCAGAACACTTATACCCGTCAGTTGGCCCGGTTAGTGTGCGGTGAGACGCAAGAGATATTTTCTAATCAGTTATATCCCGGCGACACCCGCAGTGATGCTGTTTTCAAGACGATGCTTGGCAAACTTGAGACTGTTTTGACGCTTGATAGGGTTGCGAAACGTAGCCGAGTGCGGCTCCGCTTTGATGCCGGATTTGGCACAGACGCTAATATCAATTACGCATTATGGCGTGGTTTCCAACTCATTGGGAAGATGTATACCTCGCGTCGGATCCAGAAGTTAGTGGCAACCGTGGAGGAGTGGGTGTCTGTGCCAACGCGCAAAGGTGTCCGTGGGAGAGAAGCCGGATGGGTGAAACAGCCGCATCGATATGCGAGGCGAACCGTGCAAGTCGCTGTGAGAACACCGAAAAAAGATGGCACGTGGAGTTATGCGGTGTTGGTCTCAACGGACATCAACGCAACTCTCGAAGAACTCTTGCTTGAATATGACCAACGCAGTGGTGCCCCGGAGAACTCTTTCGCACAGGATTATCAAGCACTCTCTTTACGAAAATATAGAAAGGCAGGATTTATCGCACAGCAAGTTTTGCTTTTACTCGCAGAACTCGCTCATAACTTAATGATTTGGATGAAAACTTGGTTCATAGAGGCAGTTGAGACGCCTCAAGACGCCTCGGAGCAAACTGAAAACTCACATCGAAAAGCCAGAAAGATGCTTCAAAGCCGGGGATTGAAACGGATCAGGAGAGACATCTTGGCGATCCCAGGAAAAGTCTGCTTTGAAGGCAAGAAGGTCGTTGGGATACGGATCAACCCTTTTTATCCCCTCATACAACACGTCTCCACTGCTACCAAGGCACTTTTCCAACATTATGGGATACTTGTGTGATTGACAATATGTAGCTATCAAGCAGCATCTTCGCCATAAAGCCCAATGTGCCGATAACGCTCATATCTTTGTTGGACGAGTTGTTGAGGGGTCATTTGCATCAATTCAGTGAGGTGCTTACGGACTGCACGTTTGACGTTGCGGGCAGCTGCCTCCGCATCTCTGTGTGCACCGCCGAGCGGTTCACGGATAACTTGGTCAATGATCTCTAACTTAAGCAGATCTGGGGCAGTCGGTTTATAGCCTTCGGTTGCCTCAGGTGCGTGTTCGCCTTTATCCTTCCACACGATACCGCTGCAGGCTTCGGGCGGGGCAACACAGTAGATGGCGTACTCCATCATCAAGACGCGATTTCCAACTGCGATTGCCAAAGCACCACCACTTCCACCTTCGCCGATAATAACAACAAGGATCGGGACACGCAGCATCATCATCTCAACGAGGTTCTCAGCGATCGCCATTGCCTGTCCATATTCTTCGGAACGAAGATCAAAGTGCGCCCCTGGCGTATCAACAAAACAGATTAAGGGTCGGTTGAATTTACCTGCTAACTGCATCAATCGTCTTGCCTTGCGGTAGCCCTCCGGATGCGTGTAACCGAAATTCATCTCCTGTCGCTCTTCGAGGTTCGTGCCTTTCTGTTGTGCAAGGTAAACAAGAGGTTGTCCGTCGAACCACGCGAAACCACCAATGAGTGCCCGATCGTCGCCGTATAGTTTATCGCTGTGAAGCTCAACATGTTCATCGAAAAGTGCGTTAATATAGAAGGGTGCTTGCTGGACGTTGTGCATGCCGCGCTAACCGTACTTTATCCCAGCGACTCAAATTCTGGAATGTCTGTTTTGTGAGCGTGTCTGCATTCCCCTTGAGAGCCGCAATACCCTCCGTGAGATCTAACTCAGGATGCGCTTCCGAGAAGGCATTCAGTTGGGAAAGGTGACGTTCCAATTCAATGAATGGTTTTTCAAATTCGAGTTCTGTTGTGTTCATACTTTGATTCCATTAAGCTGTAATGATGTTCATTCCAGTGCCTGGAAGGGCGCGCTTATAAAGCGCGCCCAGCCATACAGTGGTATTAGCGTGATTCCCTTACTTCCTGACTAAGCCCAATCCAGACGCAAACCGCCATTCCCAGTAGGACAATCGCGAAAGGGAAACCTGTCGCGAGGGATGCCGCCTGTAGGGACTTTAACCCGCCACCAAGTAGTAGTGCAATAGCGACTAAACCTTCTGCAGTACACCAGAACACACGTTGTGGTATAGGAGCGTCAACTTTCCCACCCGCCGCAATGATGTCAATAATCAGAGAACCAGAGTCCGACGAGGTAACGAAAAAGATGATTGTCAATGTCATACCGATACAGGAAAGTAACGTTGTCCACGGGAGCCCTTCAAACATTTTGAAGAGTGCGAGTTCCGGTTTATATGCCTCAACAATCTCGGTTACACCGGTGTCCCCAGTGAGAAATTGGTGGATGGCAGTGCCGCCAAAGGCACTAAACCAGAGTAAACACAGCAGTGTCGGTAGAAGCAGCACGAAGATTACGAACTCGCGCACCGTGCGTCCTTTTGAAATACGAGCGATAAACGTGCCGATGAACGGTGCCCAAGCGATCCACCACGCCCAGTAGAACGTCGTCCACCCGTGAAAGAAGCCAGTATCCTCGCGCCCGATCCAGTTACTGAGTGGCACAATTTTCATAACATAGGTGCCAAGGCTCGTAAAAATGCTGCGGAAAATGTAGAGCGTTGGACCGAGGATGATAACAGCCAAAAGCAACACAAATGCGAGAATTATGTTGAACTGGCTGAGACGTTTGATACCCACATTAATCCCTGTCATCACCGAAATCATCGCGATTGCAGTAATAAATACAATTAGGAGAACCATGGTGAGGCCGTTCGCCGGAATCCCAAACAGATAATTGAGTCCAGCGGTTACCTGTTGCACCCCTAAACCGAGGGAGGTAGCAAGTCCAAAGATACCTGCAAATATGGCGAAGGTATCGATGATGTGCCCGGGCCAGCCCCATATCCGGTCCCCTAATATGGGATAAAAGGCGGATCGGATGAGCAATGGCAAACCCCGATTGTAGGCGAAAAATGCGAGGGCCAGCCCAACGATTCCGTAGATTGCCCACCCTTGCAGTCCCCAATGGAAGACCGTCGCGGCTATTCCCAAAGATCCGGCAGCCTGAACCTTGGGATCCGAAGCATCGGGAACATTTTCAGCGGTGTAGACCGTATCTGTGTTGTAAACCGTTTCTACTCCGAGCGGCGGACTCTGAAAGTAGGTAACCGGTTCTAACACGCCAAAGAATAGAAGTCCGATACCCACGCCTGCCGAAAAGATCATGGCAAGCCATGTTAAGTAGGAATATTCAGGCTTCGCATCTGCTCCCCCAAGGCGCACCTTTCCGAGTGGCGAGACCGCCACAACCAGACAAAAGAGAAAGACAAGGTTGGTTGTGATCATGAACAGCCAGTCGAGGTTTGTAGTGAGCCAGACGCGGAGGGCTCCAAAGAGTTTTGTCGCGCCCTCCTGGAAGACGAGAGATCCAATGACAAAGGCGATGATGGCGATACTGGAAATCACGAATACAGGTGTCAGGTAAATCTCTAAACCAAACAACTTCCTGTACTCCCTTTCCTCCATGTATTGTGGTTGTTTTCCTTCTTCGTGCATTTTCAAAATTCTCCTTTTAGAGTTGATTTGGCGGTTTTCGACCGCGCACGGACGAAGTGCACGCTAACAAAGCGCGCCTACGGTGGAAGGGTCACGTAACCGACTTAGAAATAATAACCAAAGTTAAAGTTAAGTCGCCAATGCCATGTGTTATTTCCGTTGGCACCAACATGATTAACCCCTGTAAGGATATTTCCGTAGTCATCTCCCGTGTTACCGACAAAAAAGTTGCCGTCGGAGAGTGCGATATCACTATAGACATACAGTGCGCCCAAGACCGTCCAACTTGCGCCGAGCGTCACGAGCGTGCTGGCGTTGTAATCATCTACAGTTTTGAGGATAGTACTCCACTCCGCATACGGCGTAACACTGTCAACCCATGAGATACTTGAGGTATCTATACCGCCGTAACGCAGCGATAGCGCCGGTATTAATCCGTTGAGCGATGGGCCATGCGAAAGTCGTAAGCACCCATTGGAATTAGGTCTCCGGTGCCCCAAGGGGTTTTGTCAGTGATATTATGCGCGTAATAAGAGAATTGTGAAAAGAGCGTGAAGTCGGCGAGAGAGTTCTTTGCATGCACGGAAAAAGCGTAGTGGTTACCACTATCATCGTCCCCCACATTTGTCCCCTTCAGCAATCCGTATTGCAGCGACACACCCCACATCTGCGATATTCTCAAGCGCATAGATTGCTCGGAGATTCAATTGGTGTTGCTCATCAAATCCGTTTTCACCAGCACCCCATTCGACGTTTCCCTTTGCATCGGCTTTTTCTTCCCATTTGACAACGTCATAGGCGTATCGCGTACTCGCCAGACTGCCATACTTTACCAGCTGAGGTTCACTCATAAGGTAGTAGCCTACATCAAGCGTCAGCTTATCAAAGGTATCACTCCATGTAATCCCTAAATCGGGATCATCTGAGAGTCCAACATAAAAATGCTGGTCAAAAAACCAGCTCGTGGAAACCCCGTAGGCGGTCGGGACCGAAAGGTGCCCGCACAATACCTGCTTTAACTGTGCCAGAATCACCAGCTTATACCCTAACCATGCAGTGTGTATCATGCTGTAGCCATCATACCACCGGTATTCAAGCCGACCGATGATGTTGTTATAGTCAAGATCGGCATTGAGGCGGAATATCTCAAGGTCAACATCACCGATTTTTTCGCCTCGGGGATGTGGGTTGTCCTCATCACCATAAGCACCGTAGGCGTAGTTTACGCGCATTGCTCCGCCGACTTTAATGGGGCTCTTCTTCGGTGCTGGGGCCTCAGCGGCTTCTTCCGTATCTTCGGCTGTATCAGCCATGGCGAAAGAAGTAGCGATTAGCAAAAAGGCAATACCGAACCGAGGAAGTGTTGACATTTCCGATTTTTCAGAAAAAAAGAATTCATAAAATTTCTATAGTTATACACCGACTCTCCTCCTGAGTTAGGTGAGGGTGGAACATAATCGTTTGGCATGGTGCCGTAGGTCCATCGGACTTTTCGGAAATCTGAAACTTTCATATTGATCATCAACCGACAGCTGACTGCTATTTCTGCGCCTTTTATATTTCAAAACTCTATTTAGGAACCTCCGTTGTTAAATCATTAACAATCATATAAAACAATATTAACAGAAAATGCGCAAAATTACGACGCTCACCGATGTATCGCTGAAAAGGTTTGGAACCTCGCCAGTAAATATGGGATTTGCGTAAGTCATAACTCATATAGTTAGTCTTAACTATAAAGACTTCCATACGCATATTTTACATGATTGTATGCCTATTTAATTGATTAGTCAAGCCAAACACGCAAAAAATGCATCATACTACACATTTTATGTTTTTTAGGAACTTTGGTGCATAAGTGCAGTTTTGAGTTGAAAAGTAGCAATTTATAGATCAAACAGAGCGAAAGAACAATACGGCACCATCCGTAAAGAGATACCTGAATTAAATTTGAAACTCTGATTTATCACCCGTCAGTTGGGTAATAGCACCTAACTGTGATAAAAGACAAAAAACTCGCCCACAATTGAATTGTGGACGAGTTAGAAACACACTTATTGCATCTGTCCCATACTCTGCATCATCGCAAAGGTTTGGATAAGCTGCTTGAAGTCACTAAGGGTAAGAAGCAGCTTTGCCCCGATTCCACCCTCTTGAACTTTCGCGGAAAAACCGATGCTATAGTTTTCTGGTAAATCCATAAACATTCCCGACATCATTTGCAGTGCTGCAGCACCATTCGGATCCGCTACCTTCGCGATAATCGGTAAGAGACTTTTAACCATGGTCATTGGCGAAACCGCTAAAAACAGGTTACTCTCCAATCCCAAGGTGGCAACCAATTTTTCATAACTTGGTTCCGCAGAGAAACAGAGCGCGGTATCAACCGCCGCTCTGTTATCCAGGTTTATCTTTAGTAGTTCGGGGCTGCCCGTCGCCAGAAACAAATGATCATCAGTAATAGCATAATACCAATGCCATTCGTTTGGCATCAACCCAGCAGCCTCGGGTGGCATCGTTCCGAAAGCACTACCGAAATTCGGGAAGACGTAACTTTTAATCTCAACGCCATTATGCATCATGGGCTCACCTGGATACGCCCCTTCGTACATATCCAGATTAGCGACATCACCCATCATGTTTCGAGCGAGTGCCATTGAGTCTTGGAGTTGTTTAAGCAACGCCTCTTCCATATAGGCTTTTGCCTTTTGTTCATCTCTCAGTCCATAGATAACTAAATAATCGGGGATGACACTACTACCAAAATTGACAGAAAAAGCCCATTCCTCATCAAGAGCCTCATAAAAGTCTTCCATCTGTTTGACAAGCGACGCGAGCATCTCAGCCTGTTCCGGGTCCAAGTCCTGTGAAAGCATTTTCAGCCAGAACACGTTCATCTCAATCATCAGTTCGGGTTTCCCCTGAAGAGCGCCATTTATAAACGCCGGACTTGGGAGTTCACCAAGAAGTGCTAACTCGTCGGGAGCCATCCCTTTTAACGCCTTCTGAATTCTGCTATCGCTCTTGAACTTCAGAAATGGTGCGAGTTTCACATCGGTGCCTTCCACTTCAAGCGTTGCACTCAGAGATTTTAGCTGCTCAAGCATATCTGTCGCCGTGTCAAACATACCTTTAAGGAAGGGTGCTGCTGCCATTACAGCAGGATCACTTTCAAGGCTGTCCTGCATTGATTCCGATTCACCCTTAAGTGACGCACTTAAGATAGGCGCGATTGATTCAAGATCAAAGTGTACCGCGAGCTGCGCTGTCCCCTCTGCAACATCGGTGAGGAATGCACCGTAATCGGGATTGGTTGTAATAGCAGGCTTTGTTTTGTTATAGGTATCAATGACGCTTTCACAGACTTCAGCGGACTGAGAAAAAACGAGAGTGTTATCTATAATAGCGAAACTACCGCCGCCTCCAGCCGCGTTCCAATAGGTTACGCCGTTATATTCTATCGGAGCACTTCCCTCGCTTTCGGCGGCAATCACCTGTTTCATGGCTGTAGGGTCTGTTAGATGGACGGTTGCGGAGAGGTCTGGTGGCTTCAAGGAGGTCATGAAGATTGCGAAATCTTGCTCTAAATCCAGCCCGATTTCCTCTAATTCCGCAAGACTCTCAAAGCCAGCACCAAACGTATTTGCCAAAATTTTGGCGATTATCTCCGGATTTTCAGCGGTCGGCATCAGGTCCATCGCTAACATGTTAACTCGATTGTTTAACTCATCCAAACTGGGGCAATATATAAGCCCGGCTGTTTGTTCCGGTATTAGATGTAGCACACTGCTGTCTGGAATCTCCACTATTGGCATTACTTCTTCATCTGCGTGTGATTCTTCGTGCGCCTCTTCCGACGATTCGCGGTGTTCATCAAGATCACGCGCTACAGCGTCTGATTCTTCATGTTTTTCCTCTGATTCTTGTTGGACTATAGGGGCTTCAGTGGCGGTTGGGACTGGAGGGGTCTTTTTCGCGCTGCAACCAACGAATACAAACGTTGCCAGTAACGCTAACGCAATAAGGGGTAAAGACAAACATCTCTTCATTGTCAATTTCTCCTGAGGTGTAGGACACCCTATCGGCGTATCCTCACCAGATTTATGGTATTAATTTTGGGTTTTTTCGATTTTTTCTTGAAGTGCATCAATCTCTGCATTGGAAGCCAATACACCGATTTCGACCTCATAATGCCTGCGACCGCCGGGTTCAATATATTGTAGGGCACCACGTTCACGTTCCTTTGCCCTACCTTCTACTCCGCAATTCGATGGTTCTAAACCGAAGACATAGTTTCCTTCACCACACATTTTCCATTGAACAAAGTGAGGAAATTGGGTTTTGTGGTAACGCACCGATACGCCAATGCCTTGCCTATTGTTAAAATTGCGGTTTACAAGCGCGACATGGATGTGATTATCAACATCTGGTTCCATTTCGTGATAGAAAACTTGCTCTTGAAAATCGACGGTTGGTGGTTCGCAGAGATTATAATTGTTCAAGTTTGCGGCAGCGTGTTCATCACGCGGGGTGACCTGAGAGGAGGGTGCAAGCAGTTCACTGTCTTGGGTAAGGATTGGAAATCCAACATTAATGTGGAAGAGGTACATGTGTGGTGAATCTTGGTATCCCAAGTTTTCGACAATATCTTCAACGTGCAACGTACGCGAACCTAACTCGGTCCAAATTCTACGGGTGCGAGTAAGATTTTCGCCCAAAGCGGCGGTTTCTTTCACTTTGCCCTGTGCCCAGAGCATATAGCGCTGTCCTTCCCATCGACTGTCGACCCAAACGTTTTTGGCGGGAATATACGAGGCTCTACCGTGAAGCCCTAACGCCTCATCGTCATCTTCGCTCGGTACACCGACCTGTCGCATACCACAGGTGGTCAGCAAGCCACCGTAAAAACCTCGTAGCCAGCCGAGCCCATCAGGTTCATAATGCGCAGGACTGACATCGCCCGTACTCGAACGCCAGCAGAGAGGGATACCCTGATATTCTGCATAAGAGATATCCAAACCACGACTGGGCAGTACGGTGAAATTAAGACCACTGCCGGTTCGGAAGTCGATAGCGTCAACGCCCTTTTCGTTGCCGTCCATTAGTTGGTACATTTTGGCATGGGCAATTTGCGACACATCTCCGACATGGCGAAGCAGTTGCATTCTGTCATACGTTGCTCCATATAGGTTCATCAAATTATGGTTCTCCTTCTTAGGTGCAGCTTGATAGTTCCGATTTTTTAAGGGCGTTGCTTCAAGCCCATATTAAGAAGACGGATCAAACTTTCTGTATCCTGTATACTGAAAAGAAATTATAGCATACATAGGGGGAAAAAGCAAGTTTTCGTTTCAGCATAGGGTAGAGTCATCAAGCAATGTTGACCTCTGTTCACTACCATTTTTAGTTGTCCTGATTTCAGTTGTGTGATACTCTTAATGCTAATGACCGATACCCCTGCCTTGGGAAAAGACGTTGCGGTTTCACCCGTGACGAGTACACTACATACAATCCTTAATATTGAGGTCAATCTGCGTGTGATTTATTTAAAAGGAGATTCTCTGTGATTGAAACCATGAGAAACAAGATTGAGCAGATTGTTGAACAGGCTTGTGCCGCTGATACCAATATTTTCGGTTACGATATCTGGACGCATCATATCCTACCCGTCGTTCAAAACGCAAAACAACTCGCCTCACGCTTTGATAGGCAAAACTACAACGAAGTTGGCAGAAATTACGAGGACGTTCAAGACATCGTTAGAGACACATACGAAGCCGCATTGAAAATGCTCTGACGAGAGACTCATGTACTCGCTCACCCAAAAACCAACAACAACACCAAACACAACCACCACACACCCAACAACACACACTTTTCAAGAGATTTCACCAATGAAAAAAGAACAGATTGTTTCGCGCAACCCAAAAGTGATGAATGGAGCCTTAGTTTTCACCGGGACTCGTGTGCCAGTCGAGATTTTGATTCAACATCTAACGGCAGGCGACTCACTCAAGGAGTTTCTTGCTGATTTTCCAACCGTATCTCAAGAGCAAGCTGTCGCGTACCTTGAGATGACATTAGAGGTTGCTGATGCGCGTGTTGCTTGATGAAAATTTACCACATATCCTCGGAATCTGCTGACAAAAATGAGCACTTATTCACTGATTGCGCAATGCGCAAGTTCCATGACCACTGACAAGTTCACTGGTTTCTCGACCTTCGATGACGCGGTATAAATAGTTTGGATCGATGGTGGTTGGGGGGGTTGATGCGCTATTAGGTGAATGCACTCGGAACCACCAAGATCTGGACATCATTATTTCATGGAAGATTCAGCAATACTGACCGCGGCACTCTCAGCGCGTGGTTTTGTTGACATTTATACCGACGACCGTAAGGATCGAACTTCGTGATGGGACATCAATCGCACGGAAGAATCGACTTTCATGTCATTGAACTTACCGAAGGAGGCGGCGCGGTCTATGGTCCCGGGGAAATTGACTGGATCATCACCGAATCAGAGTTGAACGCTGTAGGTTTCATCGGAGGGCGGCAAGTTCGGTGTTTATCAGTGGATTACCAAGTGCGTTCGCACTCTGGTTACACGTTGCAAGATACAGACTTTGCTGACCTGCGTGCATTGCAGGTGAGATACGGGGTTAAATTGCTCCCTGAGCAGATTAATGCTTCCAGAAAAGGATAGACCAATATGCATCAGAGCGATGTCGGAATCATCATCAGTGTAGGTGGGGTAATAGAAAAGTAACAACACCGGCAATCATCAGCCCGATGGACCATAACAGATCCAAATTAAACCACGCTTTACGGAGCAGTGCAAGCCCTACCACCTCGTAAACGATAATTGCTACGAGCCCCGTCACGACGAAAAAACTGAGAGTATGTATCCCAACTGCGGACAATAACATTGTAGCATTATCTGCCATACTCGCTGGTGCGTGGTGGGTATGTCCTGAAGCCTCGGCAGCGGGCATTCGCAACAAAAGCGGTGCCAGCATCAAACCCGCCCCGTGTGCGGATGCCATCAGGAACGACCAAATCGTTAGGTCTTTAAAGTTAACCCGCATCCCGACCCACTTCGGATGTCGCGCTCGGAAAAACTTGTACGCACCAAAACCGAACAATATAACTGCACACGCGATACGAAGGACTTCTTCCGGGAGTTGTTGCTGCGCCAAGGCGATGACGAAAACCACGGCTGCGATGGATATAGCGTGTCCAAGTGCCATCGGAAAAAGGGCACCAATAACCGCGCTTCTCCGTTTTTCTTGCATGCCCAACGCGACTGCAAAAAGCCACCCCATCCCCGGATTAATGCCGTGAAATACGCCGAGGAGCGTGTAGCTTAACCATGAGACTGTATCCATAAAAAATATCTTTCCACTGATAGTATGAGGGTGCTGCAAGTGAACTTGCGCACCCTCTTCTAAAAAAGTCGTGATTTATAGTAAAGTCGAAAAATATGTGGACAGTTAGTCAGTGAACAACGACCCCACCGCCGCTGGCGAGGATTGTATCCTCGCCTCTTTAGAGCGTCCAAGTAATTATAGGCTTTACTATAAAACCACGTTGTAATGGTATATGGGCTTAAAAAGCGAAGTGTTTTTGCAAGGGTGTTTCCCAAGAAACTTTGCCAGTTGAGCACCGCTTATATTCCTATGGGTAGCAAAAAGTGTCGGAAGAACTATCGCCACCTTGCAACCGAATCTGATGGGCGCGACTCTCGCCGAAGTCCACGAAGAAGTCGGGATCCAATTCCAGTCCGCCATCTTCTACGTTCACATCAGCCTTCACCATCCATCCGTTCGCGCTACCGGGGTAGAATTGATTATCCCATGCAACGTAGAGGGAATTGGTGAAGTAGAGACGCTTGCCATCTCGACTCAATTCAACCATCTGTGGACCACCACCTACAGGTCCAGCAGTCGGATGTGGGTACGATTTTGTAATCCCTCCTATTTCGAGAGTCCCTGTAAGCTTCGGATCAAACGGGTCAGATACGTCGTATTGCAACAGCTCCCCAGTGCCCCAACAGGAGACATACAGGAACCGGTCATCCAATGAGAGGACGTGATCAGTAACAAGCGGAGGTATCATCCCAATATCTTTCAAGGCAGGAGGTAAGGCATCCGGATTTTCAGGCACCTGTGCGGGAATATCAATAATCTTGCGAATACCCCAATCGTCTCCATCTTTATACCACGTCCAAATGGAACTTGAGAGATCGTTCATATTAAGCACGGCATTGACGAACCCATACGCCTTGGTTGGATCATGCGCTGGACGCAACTCCAAAATCATCTGATAATCGTCGCCCAAATCCAACGTTTGGATGTTCTTCCGATGCCGAATGTCCCAGATATGGATCTTATGTCCGAACTTGCGCTCACCTAAATCTTCAAGGCTCACGCCGTTTTCAATCATCGCCGGGGTTCCCCACTCGCTGGTGACGGCAATGTCGTAACCCAAGTGCCACCAGAAATCATAAGAGAGGGATTGGGAACCGCGTTCCACTTCCCACTGCCCCAGAATATTGAAGTTGTAGTGATCCATGAGGAATACCCCACCAGGACCTTCTTCTGAATCGGCTGAACCCAAAGCACTGATGTAGATACCTTCAGGACCGCAGTGTACTGTATGCGGACGGGTATATCCGGATCGCGACTCAACTTCATTGGCATCCAAAGTTTTAATGAGTTTCGGTGCCTTCGGGTTCTCCTTGACATCAAGGATATAGATATGAGAACCCCGCAGTGCTGGCACAACAAGGTAACGCCGTTCTACATAAGGGTGTGGTGCGTAGGGACAGAGTGCTGCACTACAAGCATTCCAACCGAAGTGGTGGATTTCGTCACGAACACCGAGCTCCAGCCTATGGACCATCTTGCCATAAGTATCAGACGCTTTGTTGAGGTCAACGACACACATAGCGTCGGGTTTGCCATCATCTCTCGGGGCAGCGACGTAGGCGACCTCCTCAGCGGGGGCTTCGATCGCCATTTTGGGTGATGGGTAAAAAGTTGGGTCAGGTTTCCACTGTTGTAACAAAGTCATTTCTCCTTTTAGTGTGATGTTTCTGCATCGTTTTGCGCGCGGTCGAGCCAGCCGGGCAACCTGATGTCCTCGGATAACTTCCACGCCGTCAAATAGAGTGAAGCCGTCCAACGGACTGATTCACGCGCCCGATCATTTGTGAAATCAACCAACGCAGGTGTCGGGTCTTTCAGATTTTGCCAGCCCCCGGCAAGCTCGTAAACGCTGTCTACTAAACTGAATCCCGCTTTAATTTGTGTGAGTATCGCTGGCATTAAATCATCAACGGCTTCAATCTGTTGCGCCTTCGCGAGTTCTGCTGGATTCAGCTTCAACATCTCAATTGCCGAATCGACTTTCTCATGGATACCGGCATGCAGGCGTGTTCCGTCCTCTTGCTTAATCCCATCAAAATTAATGGTTAGGTGTAAAGGTTGACACATATCCTGTGCATAGTGTGCAAGAAAACCCGCATAGAGAAAGCATTTGTTCTGAATCATCGGATTATCGGGCCATTTGCGATGCTCTGCGAAAGCAACAGCGAGCCGTTCTGTCCACTCCGCGAGCGCATAGGGCAATGTGCCGACTGATCGCGGTGCAATCCCTAACTCTGCACACAACTTAATGTGTGCGTCGCGTCCGTCTGGGATCGGATGACCCTTCTAACAATTCTACATCAATGTAGTGTTCACCGTATTCAGCCTGTCGTGCGTGCGGGTGTGCCACGCTCCTTCGATATGTCCGGGTCGTAGGCACAGTGAGCGACCATTTTTTCGGCGGATCGGAAAAATTCAGGCATCTCTTCGGGAAGTGCTTTGACGGCTGCCTGTGTGAGGATATCGTGTCCGCCTCCCCACCATGCCCACGCCGGTGTGGTGAAGAGTATCGAAAATAGAATAAGGACATTATAGAAACGTTTCATAATTCTCCTTTTGTTAGTCTGCCGCCAGATATTCTGCCGGACTCGCTTCCTGCCATTGGAACTGGAGTTCAGCGGTTTCATGAGGCTTAAACGATGTCGCGACTGTCTCTATGGCGGGTCCGACGATGTCAATCTTGTCAAGGTCTGCGGTGCCGTAGCCCATCTCATTTGCGTAATGAAAAAGCCCAATCCCTAACGGCTCAAATCCCATCGCTTTTGTCGTGACTGCGTCAGCCGCAAACACATCTCCACTCGCTACTGCGATACCGAGGGGAACAGAATCGGTGCCCCCGGGTCCGTTGCCTTGTAACCCGACGGTGCCATCGACAATAGCGATATCGGGCTTAAGGTGGCGTGAGAGGCGAAGTAGATTGATATTGAGCGTCTGCGCTTCGCGCGGAAGCACTCGGTCTGCGTGACTGTGATAGCCGTGCATTTTAATCCGGTCTTCCTTGTGCAGGGTACCCATAATCATATTCTTCATTGCGAGCGTTACAACCCCAGCATCATGTGTTTTAGCGATAGCAACAGAAATAGTGCAGGGGCAATCCGTGACTATCTTTGGCATCCTCACGGTATCTTCATTACGTTCAGCAAGAAAGACCGTGGTTTCCACCCATTCGGTTTCCTGATGCAAATCCACGAGCCGGATCGGGAGATCGTATTCGGCTTGGAGTGCCTCATAACCGAAAATTTGGAACGCCTCACCCGAAAATTTTTCATTTGCGCCTTCGGCAATAATTACCTCTTTTGGCGGATGTGGTGTACTCAGCAGAAAATCAAGCGCACCCCGCATCGCATCGACGTGCGACGAGGCGAGTTGATTCGTACTGGAGAGAAAATTCGGTTTTAACAGGACCTGCTCACGGACTTTCGGTGTGAGCGCATCCCGTATATTGTCCAACGCCTCAAAAACGTTAGAGCGTCGCCTGCCAGTTTTGGCAAGCCCAACTTTCGTACGCATCGGTTCCTCCTTACCTTTTGTTAGTGCTCCTAATCCGTTCCGATCTTCTTTATCCAAATCGGGACAGAAACCCAATTGTTAAAAAAATCAATCAAGAATGTGCCTTAGAAATCCCTCATGTTCTTCTAATAGTATGTTCGCGTCCGTCGGATTCAGTCCTTTCGCGAGCATTACAATAGCCAGCTTAGCACGACCGCCTGCCCGTGCTAACGCTTCCTCAGCCACCGCGGCATCAACCCCAATGATGGCTTGGACAATTCGGATGCTCCGCGCGACCAGTTTCGTGTTAGAGGCGTGTACATCTACCATCAGATTGTTGTAGATTTTACCCAGTTTAATCATAGAAACGGTCGTCAACATGTTCAGAACCAACTTTGTGGCTGTTCCCGCTTTCAATCGGGTTGAGCCAGCGATAATCTCCGGTCCGACAATGGGGGCGATGAAATGTGTCACCCATCCTTTTAATTGCTCAGGAGGTGGGACGCAGCAGAGCAATATTGTCGTCGCGCCAATAGCATGCGCCTCCCTTAAAGCCCCTATA